GGTTTTGCTCAGTTCTTATTATTATTATTATTCTTCTTCCTCTTCCTCTTCCTCTTCCGCCGCTTTTAAATTTGAACTTGTCCGCACCCGTTCTCCAAAACCGCTGGTCAGATTAACTTAGGGTTTCACAAAATGTTAGACTAACATGTCTAGTGGTGCAATCAGGGTTTTGTTTGTGCAATGGGGTTTATAAAGGGGTACTTTGAGGGGCAAAAAGAAAGGAGGGTTTTACTATAGAACCCTATGGGATTTTATTTTTTAAAATTTTCAAATGATTATAACTTGAAAACCGTTAGTGATAGACACAATCTTTTTAATTCAAAATGTTCTAAATGATAAAGCACATTAAATGAAATACAGGGTTAGTCCCCAGGGGTCATCCCCACCCCCTGCCATTTAAGTAAGTTCTAATACCTTGTAAGTTGTCAAGATCCCCACCCCTAAACCATATATATTCTGGTTTGTCATGCTAAGATGGTTTGAATGATACACAGGGTTAGTCCCCAGGGGTCATCCCGACCCCCTGCCATTTGAGAAAGTTCTAATATCTTGTAAATGGTGGAGATCCCCACCCCTAAACCATATATATTCTGGTTTGTCATGATGAAGCACATCGAATGACATACAGGGTTAGTCCCCAGGGGTCACCCCCCCACCCCCTGCCATTTAAGAAAGTTCTTATATCTTGTAAGTGGTCAAGATCCCCACCCCTAAACCATATATATTCTGGTTTGTCATGCTAAGATGGTTTGAATGATATACAGGGTTAGTCCCCAGGGGTCATCCCGACCCCCTGCCATTTGAGAAAGTTCTAATATCTTGTAAATGGTCGAGATCCCCATCCCTAAACCATATATATTCTGGTTTGTCATGATAAAGCACATCAAATGAAATACAGGGTTAGTCCCCAGGGGTCATCCCCACCCCCTGCCATTAAAGAAAGTTCTAATATCTTGTAAGTGGTCAAGATCCCCACCCCTAAACCATATATATTCTGGTTTGTCATGAGAAGATGGTTTGAATGATATACAGGGTTAGTCGCCAGGCGTCATCCCGACCCCCTGCCATTGGAGAAAGTTCTAATATCTTGTAAATGGTCGAGATCCCCACCCCTAAACCATATATATTCCTGTTCGTCATGTCTTGAACATTTGAATGACGTATAGGGTCAGTCCCCAGGGGTTCCCCCCACCCCCAATGTTCTAGTATCTTGTAAATGGTCGAGATCCCCACCCCTAAACCATATATATTCTGGTTTGTCATGCCAAGATGATTTGAATGATATACAGGGTTAGTCCCCAGGCATCACTAATGCATATAACTTTACTAGACCAAACCAATTTTCACTGGACTTTGCCCAATGTCAGAGGACCCTGGGAATTACGAATTATGGGAGATTCGTTTGGGAGACTTCGTAACAGCATCCTGTTACAATCATTTCTTGTTGATTATGGGCCCAGGTTTCAAGTTGGTCCAAATCGGGGTCCAAAATTAAACTTTGTTTGATTTCAACAAAAATTGAATATATGGGGTTCTTTGATATGCTGAATCTAACCATGTATTTAGATTTTTGATTTTTGGGCCCCGTTATCAACTTTGTCCACATTGAGGTCAAAAGGGTCCAAAATTAAACTTTGTTTGATTTCATCAAAAATTGAATTATTGGGGTTCTTTGATATGCCGAATCTAACCGTGTATTTAGATTCTTTATTTTTGGTTCCGTTTTCAAATTGGTCTACATTAAGGTCCAAAGGGTCCAAAATTAAACTTAGTTTGATTTTAACAAAAATTGAATTCTTAGGGTTCTTTGATATGCTGAATCTAAACATGTATTTAGATTTTTGATTATGGGCCCAGTTTTCAAGTTGGTCCAAATCGGGGTCCAAAATTAAACTTTGTTTGATTTCAACAAAAATTGAATATATGGGGTTCTTTGATATGCTGAATCTAACCATGTATTTAGATTTTTGATTTTTGGGCCCCGTTATCAACTTTGTCCACATTGAGGTCAAAAGGGTCCAAAATTAAACTTTGTTTGATTTCATCAAAAATTGAATTCTTGGGGTTTTTTGATATGCTGAATCTAACCATGTATTTAGATTTTGGATATTGGACCATAATAGGTGAATGTCCAATTTAAAATTTTTAAGTTCTTAGACCACCTTCAATCTGTGTTAGAAACCTATGCTGTGTCAAATATTTAATCACAATCCAAATCCAAAGCTGTATCAAGCTTGAATGTTGTGTCCATACTTCCCCCAACTGTTCAGGGTTCGACCTCTGCGGTCGTATCAAGCTGCGCCCTGCGGAGCATTTTATTTGTTATTATCTTAGATATCATTATAATATCTAATATGTAATACTATTAATTATGATTTTAACCTTATTTTACATGATTTCCAAAGCATCAGTAAATACAGGTGAGCGACACAGGCTCTTGAGAGCCTCTAGTTACTGATTGCACTCAAAGGGGGTTGGCATCTATGAGTTTGTGATTAGGTCTAGTTCATGGTGAACCACTAGTGGTAGGTCAATGGTATTTGGTATGCAGTTGTATTAGCATTGACACATCTCATTACTATGCAGATTATTTGGCCCCGCCCCCTCAGTCAAGGTCTATTGACTTTGAAACTTTTCATAGTTTACATGTATTAGTTTGTGATTAGGTCAATTTATGGGGAACCACTAGTGGTAGGTCAATGATATTTGGTATGCAGTTGTATAAGCATTGGCATATCTCATTTCCATGGAGATTATTTGGCTCCGCCCCCTTAGTCATGGTCTATAGACTTTGAAAATTTTGCTAAGTTAACATCTATTAGTTTGTGATTAGGTCAGTTCAAGGGGAACCATTAGTGGTAGGCCAATGTTAATTTGTGTTCAGTTGTATAAGCATTAGCACATCTCATTTCCATGGAGAATATTTGGCCCTGCCCCCTCAGTCATGGTCTATTTACTTTGAAACTTTTGCTTAGTTTACATGTATTAGTTTGTGATTAGATCAGTTTAAGATGAACTGCTAATGTTAAGTCAATGATATTTGGTATGCAAATTTATTGGCATTTGCATGTATCGTTTCCATGGAGATTATATAGCCCCACCCCCTCATCATGGTTCATTGACTTTGAAACTTTTACATAGTTTACAAGTTAATGTTTGTGTTTAGGTTTGTTTAAAGGGAACGACTTATAATAAGTCAATGGTATTTGGTATGCTGTTGTATTAGCATTGGCACATCTCATTTCATGGAGATTATTTAGACATGTACCTTCAGTCATGATTCATTGACTTTGAATATTTGCATAACTTACATGTTAAAGTATTGCTATTTTAATTTCATCATTTGCATTATCAAAATTACAAAAAGGCGAGACATATCTCTGTGATAACAGTTTATTTAAACAGATTAATAGAAAGTTACAGAATAAGTATTGTTATGGGCTAAGCTGGTGATCATATGTAGGTCAATTAAAAAAACTATACCAAAAAGCATCATTCTCACCTCATTTCCAAATTTTCCAATATTTATGTCATTATTTGTTGCTACAATTCTTATAGATCATCTATTTAACTCTTGTTACAATTGTTGCTGTCAATATTTTAAGATAACCTACATGTGAATTACATGTATGGATGTAACAATATTGTCTGTTGTTATTTATAAGTCAACTAAAATACAAGCATTTACAATCAAACAGACACTAATTAATTTTCTAAAAACTGGTCTTGTTTAATTTGAACTATACCTGCAGCTAATTTAACATTTGCTAGGCATTTAAAATCAATTTTTCTCAGGTAAACACCTTATTTCAGGGTACTTTAGCATAGATTAACCCAAGCTTCTCTTTTTATACGCCCGTTTACGGGACGTATTATGGTATACCGTTGTCCGTCTGTCCGTCGTCAACATGTCGGACATTAACTCAAAAATGCTTTAACCAATTTGCATAAAACTTTGGTGAATTGTTTATATCTATTGACGTGAGCTCCCTTTCGTTTTTTATAAAATTTAGATTTTACGTTTCCAAGTTATGGGGTTTTATTCATTAAAAAAAGGGGGATTTTCCAGTTTTCAGACAATAAGTCAAGAAAATCACCAACTTGCAAGAAATTGTGGTGAATTGTTTATATCTATTGACACGAGCTCCCTTTTGATTTTTATAAATTTTAGATTTTACGTTTCCGAGTTACATGGTTTTATTCATAAAAAAAGGGGGGATTTTCCAGTTTTTGGACAAAAACTCAAAAATGCTGTCAGCAATTCTTATGAAACTTTGGTGAATTGTTTATATGTATTGATGTAAGCTCCCTTTAGAATTTTATAAATTTTGCATTTTACATTTCTGAGTTATGGGGTTTTATTCATTAAAAAAAGGGGTGATTTTCCTGTTTTCGGACAATAACTCAAAAATGCTGTCACCAATTCTCATGAAACTTTGGTGAATAGTTTATATCTATTGATGTAAGCTCCCTTTTTATTTTCATAAATTTCTAATATGATATTGAGAATTAATTGAACTTTATTTGTTTATAGTCTGACAACAGATTTACTATGTATTGCACAACAGCAAGAAATCTTTAATTGAACATAAATTCAATTCATGTAACCAATTTCAAGTTCTTTGAATACATTTATTCAGAAACCTATAATATGTCAATTATTTAATTACAATCCAAATTCAGACCTGAATCAAGCTTGAATATTGTGTCCATTTTTGCCCCAACTGTTCAGGGTTGGACCTCTGCGGGCGTATCTAGCTGCGCTCAGCGAAGCAGTTTTTCAGTTTTCGTTACAATGCCTGATATTTTTACAACAGTTCTTAAAATTAGAATAGAATTGACCAGTTGCAAGAAAAATGATTAACAGTTGTATGAAGTTGGGTGTTATTTTGAATTTATACAGTAATAAATATTGGTACATATATATTTATTTTTCATATTTAATTTTTCTGTCTGACCTTTATTTACTCCTGTCTTAATTGTATCTTTTGTTTTTTTAGAATATGTTCATCATGGTTGCACATTGAAGTTTGTTTTAGACTGGGCATGGAGTCGTGTGGTACATCTTAAAAATACAATAGATAATACATGTAAGTCCAATTGCTTTAGACTTTTTGATTGTTTAATAGAAAATGCACAGGGCATTGGTTGGTTGGAATGCAAATAGCCACGCCCATTTGTCATGCAAATTTAATAAGAATTCCGAGAATACACTAATTTATTGATTTAAATTTTTGTGGCGGTGGCATCAACAATGTATTAGTTTGTGATTAGGTCAGTTAAATCGGGAACCATTAGTGGTAGGTCAGTGATACTATGCAGTTGTATTAGCATTGGCACATCTCATTTCCTTGGAGATTATTTGACTCCACCGTCTCAGTCGTGGGTCTATTTACCTTGAATGTTTTGCATAGTTTACATGTTGCAGTTTGTGATTTGATCAGATTGAGGGGAACCATTGGTATTAGGTCAATGATATTTGGTATGCAGAAGCATAATAGCAATGGCACATCTCATTTCAATGGAGATGATTTGGCTCTGCCCTCTCAATCATGGTCTATTTACTTCGAATGCTTTGTATAGATTACATGTTAAAGTTTGTGATTTGATCAGTTTAAAAAGAACCACTAATGTTAAGTCAATGATATTTGGTATGCAGGTGTATTAGCATTTGCAAGTCTTTCTTTTCAATGGAGATTATTTGGTCCTACCCCCTGATCATAGATCATTGACTTTGAAACTTTACATTGCATACAAGTTATAGTTTGTGTTTAAGTTGTTGAAAAGGGAACCCCTTATGATAAGTCAATGATATTTGGTATGCAGTTTTATAAGCATGGGCATTTCTCATTTCCATGGAGGTTATTTGGTCCTGCACTTTAAGTCATGGTTTATTGACTTTGAATGATTTGCATAGTTAACATGTTTAAATATTACCATTTTGGTATCATTATTTGCATTATAATTTTCAAAATTACAAAAATGTGAGACATATCTCTGTGGCAACAGTTTATTTTCTTTGTATACATCTTTTTGTTTCATGGTTTTTATACGCCCGTCAATTTTTGACGGGACGTATTTTGGTATACAAATGTCCGGTGTCCATCCGTCCGGCGTAAACATGTCACACCGTACGTGCCGTAACTTGAGAATGACTAACCAAATTTCATGAAACTTAATATAGTTGTTTCTTATGATGGTCAAACGATCTGTATACTTTTTGGTGAAAATAAGATTAAAACTTTTTGAGTTACGGGACTAAGTAACTAAAACAGGTGTGTGTTTTTTTTTCATATGTTGCGCCGTATCTCAAAAACAATTTATGATTATTGCTTAAAACTTTACACACTTCTTAGTTATATTAATCTTAAGATCTGTATACTTTTTGGTGATGATTCAAAATTTTATTTTAGAGATATTGAGTGTTTTGTTAAAAAAGGGGGAGGGGTTTTTCACATGTCGCGTTGTATCTCAAAAACAGTTTATGATTATTGCTTAAAACTTTACACACTTCTTAGTTATATTAACCTTAAGATCTGTATACTTTTTGGTGATGATTCAAAATTTTATTTTTGAGTTATTGAGTATTTTGTAAAAAAAGGGGGAGGGGTTTTTCACATGTCGCGCTGTATCTCAAAAAACCATTTATGATTATTGCTTAAAATTTTACACACTTATTAGTTATATTCTAAAGATCTGTATACTTTTTGGTTTTGATTCAAAATTTTATTTTTGAGATATTGATTTTTTTTTTTTTTAAAGGGGGGGGTTTCACATGTTGTGCCGTATCTCAAAAAAGATTTATGATTATTGCTTAAAATTTTACACACTTCTTAGTTACATTAATCTTAAGATCTGTATACTTTTTGATTTTGATTCTAAATTTTATTTTAGAGATATTGAGTTTTTAGTAAAAAAAAAAGGGGGTTTTCGCATGTCACGCCGTATGTCAGAAACTATTTATGCTTATTGCATAAAAATTCACACACAAGACGACGGGCATATCATGCGCTCATGGCGCAGCTGTTTATTGAAATCATGGTTTATTATTGGTTTCTATTATTACAGGTTCACCTTTGTATGATTGGTCAGTGGTTGTTTTAGATGCCAGATCAATGCTGACATTACATCATGCGTATCAGAAACTGTCTCATCTCGCAGCAATTTTTAGACATCTGCTAAATCAAGGATTATCAACCACTGAGCAAGGTAAATTCAAAGAATTTAAATAAATGAAAGACTGTTCACTTCACATATAAATACAACTAAAAAATCAAAATGGGACATATAGTGGTTCATTCAAATTTTTTATCCTCAAAAATAGATTTGTATTTACTGCAAATTAGCAAATAACTGTATTGTATTTTAAGCTTGGCATATGTAAAAGGTAGGTTTTACTGTCACAAATGGAGTTTATGTAGCAGAGCTTTGTAAAAGGATAATTGCTATGGTAAAACCAATTTTTACAGAGGCCAAGCTTATCTCCATTCTATTTCAAAACTAACATATATTCATTTTAATGCCCGTTTCGGAGTAAAAATCACACAAACTGAAAATTCTGCGAAACATTGTTCTTGTCTTTGAAACCTTACAAATATGACGTCATTGATACAATTCTCATGTCCTCACCAGACATTTGTTGGCTTTATGAGCGCTTCTTAACAAAATTAACTAGATTTGATAAAAAGAATAATTTCAGGTGAGACATCTGCTTATTTTGTTTACTTTTGAAGAAATAACATACCAATGAATTCTTGAATTCAAAATGACAGATCTTCTTTAATAGTTACAGACTGGTAGATTATAGAATCTACCCCCTCAAATATATGATGTTGACTAATTAAAATAATTTTGTTATAATCATCCTTCCTAATGAGAGGTATCCTGTTTTACCCATGTCTGTCCCTCTGTCCCCTGAAATTATTGTCTGTCCCTCTGTCCCCTGAAATTATTGTCACATTTTTCTAAGGAACTATAAATCATTTCTTCCTGAAAGTTGGTATCAAGCTTTATATGAGCATGTTATACTGAGTGTAGTACCTTTTTATAACAAATTCATTTTGGAAAAAGGGTACATACCAAATTGTTTAAGAGGGAAATAGACATTGAAAATGCATTTACACACAAAATATAGCTAAGAACTTTATCTACTTTTAAGGCTGTCAACATAATATAAAACAAATTGGACAGACAAAATGTCTTAATTTGCATATTTCGAATTTTAAATAGTGGTTCTAGTTACAATATTACAAAGTCCAATTTTTATACGACCGCAAAAAAATTTTATGGTCGTATATTGGTATGACGTTGGCGTCGTCGTCGTCGTCCGGCGTCGTCGTCCGGCGTCGTCGTCCGAATACACATTGGTTTTCACACTCTAACTTTAGTTTAAGTGAATGGATCTTTTTGAAATTTGACCATAAGGTTAAATACCACAAAAGGAAGGTTGGGATTGATTTTGGGGGTTATGGTACCAACAGTTAAGGAATTAGGGGCCAAAAAGGGGCCAAAAATAAGCATTTTCTAGTTTCCATACAATAACTGTGGAACGGTGTATGGATCTCTTTGAAATTATACTACAAGTTTCCATACCACAAAGGGATGGTTAGGATTTGCTTTGGGGGGTTATGGCTCAAACCGTTTAGGAATTAGGGGCAAAAAAGGGGGAAAAACAAGGTTGTCCTGGTTAATGGACAAATACTTAAGTACAAAACATAATTTAAAGCAGTGTAAGGGAGATAAATCAAATACATCATTGAAATTATCTCCCTTACACTGCTTTTAAATTATGTATAAAGTAATGGTTAATGAACAATAAAGATAATTTAAAACAGTGTAAGGGAGGTAATCCAAAAACAACGTTTTGGTTACTTCCCTTACACTGCTTTTAAATTATGTTTAAAGAAATGCATATTTATAAAGGAAGACCAGTAAAAATAGCTGCAAATGTTGCATCTTTTTTTTTTACAAAAAAATCCATATGAAAGATTTGACACTATATTTTTAATTCTATTATAAAATAGATTAAGTTAGCACTATGGTAAATTTAAATGGGTAATTATGGTTGCCAACTCCATTGGAAATTTGAATTGAGATTATGACCATATCTTGAGGGAAAGAATTTTTTGGGGGAAAAAAAGGGGGGGGGGGGGGGATAAAAAGAAATTGTCGGGGGTCAATTTTTTTCTCATTTCAGATTTCAGAAATTAAAAAGAATTATTCTTCAAATATTATTTTTTTTTCAAATTTCAAATATTGAAAAATTTCAAGAAGTAATCTTTAATTGCACAGTATGGCGCATTAGATTTGTAAAATCTTTGATCACATTTATTTATTTGTTATGCCGAATCTAACAGTGTATTTAGATTTTTAATTTTGGGTCCAGTTTTCAAATTGGTCTACATTAAGGTCCAAAGGGTCCAAAATTAAACTTTGTTTGATTTTAGCAAAAATTGAATATATGAGGTTCTTTGATATGCTGAATCTAAACATGTATTTAGATTTTTGATTTTTGGCCCAGTTTTCAAGTTGGTCCAAATTGGGGTCCAAAATTAAACTTTGTTTGATTTCAACAAAAATTGAATAAATGGGGTTCTTTGATATGCTGAATCTAACCATGTATTTAGATTTTTTATTTGTGGACCCCGTTATCAAATTGGTTCATATTGAGGTCAAAAGGGTCCAAAATTAAACTTTGTTTGATTTCATCTAAAATTGAATTATTGAGGTTCTTTGATATTCCAAATCTAACCGTGTATTTAGATTTTTAATTTTGGGTCCTGTTTTTTAAATTGGTCTACATTAAGGTCCAAAGGGTCCAAAATTAAACTTTGTTTGATTTTAACAAAAATTGAATTCTTGGGGTTCTTTGATATGCTGAATCTAAACATGTGTTTAGATTTTTGATTATGGGCCCAGTTTTCAAGTTGGTCCAAGATAGGGTCCAGTATTTAAACTTTGTTTGATTTCAACAAAAATTGAATATATGGGGTTCTTTGATATGCTGAATCTAAACATGTATTTAGATTTTTGATTATGGGCCCAGTTTTCAAGTTGGTCCAAATTGGGGTCCAAAATTAAACTTTGTTTGATTTCAACAAAAATTGAATGTATGAGGTTCTTTGATATGCTGAATCTAACCATGTATTTAGATTTTTTATTTGTAGGCCCAGCTATCAAATTGGTTCATATTGAGGTCAAAAGGGTCCAAAATTAAACTTTGTTTGATTTCATCAAAAATTGAATTATTGGGGTTCTTTGATATGCCAAATCTAACCGTGTTTTTAGATGTTTAATTTGGGTCCCGTTTTTTAAATTGGTCTTCATTGAGGTCCAAAGGGTCCAAAATTAAACTTAGTTTGATTTTAACAAAAATTGAATTCTTGGGGTTCTTTGATATGCTGAATCTAAACATGTGTTTAGATTTTTGATTATGGGCCCAGTTTTCAAGTTGGTCCAAGTTGGGGTCCAAAATTAAACTTTTTTTGATTTCAACAAAAATTGAATATATGGGGTTCTTTGATATGCTGAATCTAACCATGAATTTGGATTTTTTATTTGTGGGCCCCGCTATCAAATTGGTTCAAATTGAGGTCAAAAGGGTCCAAAATTAAACTTTGTTTGATTTCATCAAAAATTGAATTATTGGGGTTCTTTGATATTCCAAATCTAACTGTGTAATTAGATTTTTAATTTTAAGTCCCGTTTTTTAAATTGGTCTACATTAAGGTCCAAAGGGTCCAAAATTGAACTTAGTTTGATTTTAGCAAAAATTGAATTCTTGGGGTTCTTTGATATGCTGAATCTAAACATGTGTTTAGATTTTTGATTATGGGCCCCGTTTTCAAGTTTGTACAAGTTGGTGTCCAAAATTAAACTTTGTTTGATTTTAACAAAAATTGAATATATGGGGTTCTTTGATATGCTGAATCTAGCCATGTATTTTGATTTTGGACATTGGACCATAATAGGTAAATTAAAAAAAATAAAGTTCTTAGACCACATTCTTTCTGTGTCAGAAACCTATGCTGTGTCAAATATTTAATAACAATCCAAATTCAGAGCTGTATCAAGCTTGAATGTTGTGTCCATACTTGCCCCAACTGTTCAGGGTTCGACCTCTGCGGTCGTATCAAGCTGCGCCCCAGCGAAGCATTTTATTAGGACTAAAATTTGCCCTAACCCGACTCGTTTACTTTTACTAATTTTCTTCATTGTGTGAAATGACATTTTTATAATTTTAATTTTTGATAGGTTTTATACAGTTACAGAGCAAGTTGAGTGTGGTTCTGTATATCAGTCAGCATTTGAAGGTAGTGATGTGGTTTGTCAGAGCAGGACTTTTACCAGAACATGATGGTATGAGGTTTCTTTATAATGTAATTTCAGAAATTTTTGCAATATCTATACCATTGAGATAATTGGGATGGAATAGGCTGAATAAATGTAAAAACTTTTAAAGGAGAAGGTCTTGTAAGGGCTTATTGTGGCCTAAAATTTGAAGTACATCTGATGAAAGATTTTTGACATTTTTTAAACACTTAAGTGTCTTCTTCAGTCGATTCAATTAGTTTATGTAAAAGAGTTGAACTGAGTTGGTCATTAAAGACACCTAAATTCAAGCTTAAATATGAAAAATCTATCAAATATGCCACAAAACGTCACTTTTTAGATCATTTTTGTCAAAATGGAAGTGGCCGCATTTGTGTTCAGTCTCAACCTTTATATATGTTATGTATCATCATCAAATACAACATATATTTAAATATTAAAACCAAACACAAGTGCAGCCACTTCCATTTTAGACAAAAAACGTTGCTAAAATTGTGAAGATTTCAGTAATTTTGCATGAATTAATGATGCTAGTACCTGATGCATTTGCATTGTATTGTCAAAAACAGCCCATATTATGTAACAAAAGTATTCAACTTCCCAATAAATAGCTAAAAGTTTACATTTTTAACAAATTTTTTAAATGCTGTATTTTGGGGCAAAAAAGGGGTCTTACCAGGCCTACTCCTTCTTATTGAGCCTGTGAGACAGTAATCCTACATTCCATTGCCAGCTTCAACATTTAGGTTGAGATTGTGGTTAAATCTAATGGAAAACTGATTTGAGACTTAAGCAAAACTTGCCTTTTACTTTATTTTAAAGTAAGATCAACCTAAAATATGAATAAAAGAAGATGTTAAGTTTACGACAATAAGACAGTAGTGGGCAAATTACTGTCTTCAACAGTAGACAGGTGTCTATACAATATATGATAAACACTAAATTGTCCTGAGTCCATAAAAGTTGTAAATGAACATCATATACTCCAAATAAGAAAGAAAAAGATCAACCACATGCAGTGACTGCAGTTTAAGGAATAACTGTACTGTAGTTGAAGAGTTGCCACCGTCAATTGGCGATTTGACGGTCGCAAATGCAGTTTTACTGGCGACGCGTAGAGGAGACAGTAAAACGGTTATTTGCGACCGTCAAATCAAAATTGACGGTGGCAACTCTTCAACTACAGTACTGTTATTCCGATTCTAATGCATTTCAAAAAGAAATAATACGTTAAAGCTTGAAAAAATGTATAAATTTGAAATTTGATAAAATTCCGCGAAACTTCATGAATGATTTTGGCGCAAAGACGTCATGGCTAAACATGACGTCATACAAATGAAAAATTACAAATTGAAGGTTATTTCGTTACTTCTACGATTCAAATTTGGATAAAATCACATCAAAACGGCGATTTTGAGGTAGGTGTTGTTTTATTTTCGATAATATTGTAGTAATCGAACATTTGTTGATCCATGAATTCAAAATGGCGGGTCGCTCCTTAGTTATGACTGGTGAACTGTGGATTTGACGGTAACTTTTAGCCAATGAAAAAAACTGTTACATAAAAATTGCATTAGAATTATTTTTGTGTATACTGTGGATTCATTATTATTTGTGGGATATTAGTTTTAGAGGATTTCATGGGTATAATTATATGAACCATGAATGTAAATGTTCAACATAATACAAATTGCTTACAGGTCTGTATGTAGACTTAAATAAAACCTTGAAATCAAGTATCGATGGAAATACATTTTTTCTAAGTCCATGAAATTTGGTATAGATGAAAATAAATAAATCCACAATGCTTTTAAAGGTTTTGTATGATGGATAATCTCTATTCTTCAAACTTTTGTTGTTTTATAGAGTTAAATGAGCATTTACTGCCAGGGCAATACAGCTACCCAGCAGCTAATTTGGTGCAGGCCTTTGAACATCGGAGACAGGAACTCCAGAAACTACACCAGTAAGTGCTTAGATTAACTTATCTTGCCCATTTTGAACCATTTGAATAATTGCCATCACTTTGCATGTTTTTTGGGCAATGTGAACCATTCCCATCATATCACAAGCATTTTAAGCATTGTTAAAGTATGCCATTGATATTAGAATAAGAAGCTGTGGTATGGTTGTCTTTGAAGACAACTATCAACCAGAGACCAAATGTCTCATTGATATTAGCAACTGAAATTCAAACGAGAAAAAAAAGCAATGGCCTGATTATTGTACAAAACAATAAATGAATAAACAATTAACAAATATGTTTGTATTTTGGGCCATAAAACTATACCTGTAATTTGTCATGAAGCTTGACAGTGATGACTTGATATTTTTAAGGTTTTTTATGCCCCCGCCGCTAGGCTTCGGGGGCATTAAGTGTTACCTTGTCTGTCCCGTCCATAGGTCCCCAAAATTGGTTTCCCTCCTCTAACTTTAGTTTGCCTCAACCAAATGTTATGAAACTTATACACAATACTTATAATCACAAAACGGAATCCTGCATCTGTATGTGACTCGTACATATTTACAAGCGGGGCATCTGTGGCCCATAGACACATTCTCCATTGAATTTACAGCTCTTTTCATAATGCTAGCAAGGCAAAGGTTTGTTTGGCTTGCTTGCTTTGTTTGTATCAATGTTTGCTCAAGCATTGTAATTAAGATTGACACCTGAAAACAACATAAAAAGGAGGATTTAAACTTGTATACATTATATTTAAATTTGATTGGACATTATCAAATAATCAAATTTACCTTTACACAGATTTAACTCCGCCTACTTATATTGTTTGCAGATGTCAATCTTAATTACAATGCTTGAGCAAACATTGATACAAACAAAGCAAGCAAGCCAAACAAACAAACCTTTGTCTTGCTAGCATTATGAAAAGAGCTGTAATATCACTCAGACTCCGTCTTCCAGTTTTCCTGCATATTGAACTAGGAGTTGGTGAATGCTTAGCACAATTGTGAAAGAATCTATTACTCTTGAATGAGGTCGATGCTGCTACGTTTTAAGGTTCTTTTTGATAAGAATTGTGTAAAATATCTCCTAACAAAATTTGAAGCTATTCCTGAACATCACAGTTGAGTTGTCATAGCTTTAAATTAATGGTTTATTATAGTCATACTTTTGAAAATAAATGTTGATAAATTTAAATCTACTGTATTTTCAGTGATATTGGTGAAACAGATTTACTACTAGTTGATGGCATGGTTAATAGCATGGGTCCTGCTGTGAGAGACTTGTGGATTAAGGAAGGTGGAAGTGGATTGTATCCACCACCAAGTTTACATGTAAGAACAGTTATTCAATCATTCATGGATGATCAGACTTGATTCAGAACAGGGCAAGAATTCAAAAAGAAAATCTTTTTTCAGTATTTTTCTGCTGGTCAGGTTTTTTAGTAACAACCTGATACTTTGGTAAGAGTTTTTTGATAGGTTGGTTTATGGACCAGTAGCCCAATGGGCAGGTTCAAAATTCCGTAAGATTTTATTTAGAACGAGTTTTGGATAAGCTGTTTCATCGTCATAGATGAAATATACCCATCTAAACGGGAACGACTGAAAAGTAAAGTAACAGAAATTAACCAAACAATTAGAGACTTCCTGCTTCATAGGTTGTAGGGGCCTCGGTGGCCGAGTTGTCTAAGTAGTTGAACTACTGTATCACTAGCCAGTCAACACTGAGGTTATGAGTTCGAATCCAGCACGTGGCAGATGCACTTGACTCCAAATAACGAAATAGCACTATAAATAGTGTTGAAAGTGGCGTTAAAAAAAAATTGTTTGTTCATTTGGATATCTAATGTGGGATGACCTTGTAAAAACTATGAAACCAATATCACAATCTTTCCCCATTGGATGGGTATATTTAGTTTAGGAAGTTATTTAAAACAGCCAATCAAAAATGTTAGGAACTAAAATTTCATGGAATGATGACAAAAAAGATATTACAAAAAAAAATTCCTGACTGACCAAGCCATAAAAAATCATCAAACCAACAAATTAAAAAACCCTGGCCTTACAACAGAAGTTAACAAAAAGTTTCATTATTTATTTTTCCATGATTGGTCCTTTTGCAACACTGTATGCATATATTTTTAGATATAAAAAAAATCTAGTTTAGTCTGTTGTAAAACGGGAAAATCTTCTCTTTCTTTGGTTTTCATTTATTAATCATTTCAATTTACTATGCTCATTTATATCAAAATTTAGGTGTTTTGGCTTGTAGACTTATTCAATAATATTACAGGCACTACTTAATGTATACCTTCTGGAAGGGATAGACTTAACAATGAAGAATGCTTTAGTGCTGTACTCTTTGTTAGACCTGGTGTCACTTGTGGACCCTATACAACATGAACAAGTAAGTCCAATGGGCCTTCAGTTCTTGGAGGAACAGAAATATCAATTAAGAATATTCTATAAAGTTGTTTTGTTATTTAGATCTTGGGTCACTTATGAACCCTACACAACATGTACATGTGTGTACAATTAAGTCCACTGGGTTCTTCAGGTGTTAAAGAAACCTATTTGAGAGTGAAACATGCCAGCTGTTGCACAGTTTGTTAAAATTTTAGACCTAATCAACCCTGCAAATATGAATAAGTATTCAAGTTCATTATTACCACTACTTTCTGAAGGGCGAGTTATATAGTGATAAAGGTGGGAGTCCATCCATTTGTTTTGTTTGTTTGTCTATTTGTCCTTCAGTCCCACTTTAGTATCCACAAATACTCCTGAACTGCCAGACAGTATTTTGTGCAAATTTCACAGAATTTTACTTAGATGATGTACATTTGTACTTTTGCACATTCTATTTCATACCTTCATCTGAATGATTTTTTGGTTTACTCTGGCATGACAGGGACTTTGTCATATCTGTGCAGTACTGTTTACATTTCATGTGTGAAACTTACCACCATCACTAAATAAACAATTTTGTAGAACCTACTTTTTAGCAGGTTTGCTTTAAGTTCAAAACTGGCTTATTGAAGTTATTCACCTGCTATTTTGGAAATGTTTTTAAAAAAATTCAGATTGGGAAGTTATTTTTCTGCGAAATTTACAAAAGTTGATGCCAATTTTGTGTTATCATCTCCTACAGTTTTCAAATTCAGATCCTGGAATCTTTACAAAGATTGCACACATATTATGCTATGCACTTGATTATTGAATTTTCACCTATTTCACCACACTTTGGAACTTAGTACTTTTTCTGTGAAGTTTTCAAGAAACTATACTTTTTTTTTTAATCACCTCTCCCTCCAAATTTCAACCCAGATGCCTAAAACTTCACAAAAAGTTTTCACACCTGTTGAAAATATTGACCTCCCATTATGGACTTGTTAAAAAAAACTTGCAGTTCAAGGTAAGTTATAGAAATATACTATTACTAAACAATAATTAGGAAAGGTGAAAAGTTTTATAGCCCTATGAGACTGTGCCAACTATAAACAGTGCCATTATATCCTGCAAACAATTCACGGATCTTTCCTATTCATGTTATATTATTCTGTAAAATCAGAATTAAATACCAAGTATTATTCTAAGTAACATTACTATTATTGTTGTATTTATGTCCAGCCTCTGAGAACTAAACATGGAAATATGATAGTTCGAGGGGAGCATGACGCTCTATGAACACATATTCTTATATCTTTATTTAGTTAGTCATTTGCAAATAATTATCTTTATTTTAGTTTTCTCAGAAGATTAGTAAGTTTACTAAGTCACAGTGTATCCCGATATCTGTAGTCAAACTAGTTCAAGGATTTTGGCTGTTGGATCATAAAGACTTTGAGGTAAGGAAGACTGGAAAGAGATCTTTTAAATATACTCTAATTTTTGACAACATTCAACATTTTATTGGCAAAGTGGATCCCTTCATCTTTGAAATGATAGCGTTGTACAAGCATCTGTATTCTGAAAAAAATATTTCACCCAACCTACAAAAAGACTTGCTAAGGATTTATTTTTGCTAATTTCGTGATTAAAATAAAATAGTTGAAATATTACCTTGAGAACAAAAAAAAAGTCTGTGTATCCCAATGTCAGTTGTCAAACTAGTTCAAGGATTTTGACTATTGGATCATAAAGACTTTTTTAGATAAGGAAGACAAGAGTGCTAGGGAACAGTCTCGATTTATATCATTTCAATTACCTGATTTTGGTCATCACTCAGTATTTTATTGGCAAACTGGATCCCTGCGTCCTTAAACTGATAAGGTCATTGTACAAGCATCTCTGATTTTTTAAATAGATTATTTACCTAACCTACAAAAATACTTGAAAAGTGGGAAATTCTTGGTGAGGGGTTTATTTTGCTAATTTTGCAACGAAGATAAAATAGCTAAAATCTTACCTTGCGTACATGTATTTTTAAAGAAGATTATAATCTAGGACAAAAAAAGGCAAACAAATAAATCTTGTCTATAGGTTTGCACTAGAAATTGTAAAATTTAAACTTCTAGAATAAACCACTTTACCTTATGTTGGTTATATTGTTCAATATTCAAAGCAAGGATATGGAAATTATTCTGATTAAGATATTCAATTGTTTGCACAAATCACTGAATACAACAGTCACACAAATGCCTGAAAGCAAATACTTTAATGTAATGATAATGATTAGAATTAAGACACTAAATTACCTCCATGATGGTTAATGAATTAAAAAAAAATATTTAAAAAAATTTATGTAACGAGCAGTTGTCACTTGATAGTATTAAGCACAACTGAATGTCTCAGAATGAAAGGGATGTGAATGTGACGACAGTAGAAGTGTTAGCTATGTGTACAAAGCTTATCAACTTAGGAGATAGAAGAGCTGGATAATTCTTATTTATTATATAATTGTCTTATGGTGAAAAATTTTTGTCTGGCATATATCTGTTGTATTTAACCCTTTTTTCATGAATGAACGAAAGCATAAAAACTGCCTAGTTAAAACAAGAGTGCACATACTGAGTTCTCTCTGTTAAGCCAGTCTGTGCCAAAAAAACATTGACCATAGAATCATGAAAATGAGATCAAGGTCAGATGAACCCCGTCAGATAGTCATGTACAACTTACAATCATTCCATCTATCAATATAAAAATAAGAAGATGTGGTACCAGAGACCAAATGATATAGAAGTAAGCATCTAAAGATCACTGTACAGCCTTCAACAATGAGCAAAACCTATACTGAATTGCATATTTGACCTATTACTTAGGTATCCACTCTTGTCAGTAAACATGCGAGACATTTCAGCGTGAGCACTCTTGTCAGTAAACATGCGATACATTTCAGCGTGTGCACTCTTGTCAGTAAACATGCGATACTTTTCAGCGTGTGCACTCTTGTCAGTAAACATGCAAGACATTTCAGCGTGTGCACTCTTTTCAGTAAACATGCGAGACATTTCAGCATGTGCACAATTTTGTCAGTAAACATGCGAGACATTTCAGCTTGTGCATTCTTGTTTTAATTTGCATTATTGTGCACTGTAAGTCCTTACAACTCTTCTATACAATTTTCAAGCTAGTCAATATTTTCTTGTTATGCTGCTTCAGGAATCCATGGTTGTTATGCTTGACCCTTTAGTGACCAGGAGCTTGGGTGAATGGCAACATTATAGAATCATAAGGTCTTTATTATACCAAGGAGACTGCAAAATGGCATTGCGATATATTACTTATAAGCAATCACCATTATCATCACCAGAGGAAGTCAAAATAAAACTGACAGTATTGTTAGCTAACGGGTAAGTCAATATTCATGTTTATGTGACAGTTCCCTGTCTGGAATCTTGTCAGACAATTATATCTTTATTTGGACAATTGATCTGTTGAGTGTTGTAATATAAAAAAAAAACATTTTGCTAAATGCAAAAATCAGTTTCTCCAAATATTTGGCTATTTAACCTTTTCTGGGTCCATTGTTTAAACAAAATTTAATCGTGTGTGGTTGCTGATGATCTCAGTAGATGATTGGTTAATTGTAAAGGTCATAATCTATAACAGCTCTCAAGATGATGAAACATATTTTGGAGAAAATGACAACTTTATAGAAACTTTTACTAAGCAGAAATAGTTCCATCTTCAGAAATGGTTTGTTTACTATTACATATGAAGATATATTTCAAATACAATGTTCTTGATTAAAATGGTATTTTATTAATGTTTGCTTTCATTTGAGATTCCTGAATGAAGTGTTTGCACATCAATTTCATAAATGTAGACATAAAAAATATGCAGGAATGTGGAGGCACTCGAATGGGATTTTGGTTTATCAAATATGAAAATTTATTTGATAATCATTAGAGAAACAGATTCTTACAAAGTTACTCCTGGATTATTGGATAAATCTGATAATCCACTGCATGCACTGGTATCATTGTAAGAATCTATGTGCATATCACTATTACTTACTTGCAAAGATGAAGTAAATGGTCCTTAACTTATATGAAATACTAGTTTCGTTATCATTTCTCAGACTTTTTAAAATTACAAGCCTTCATTATTGGAAAAAAATAAAAATTACAATTTATAAATTTTATGCGTCCTAAGAGCTTTTCTGGATCAGCATTCACAATGAACGCTCAGAGCCAAAATATTTAAAAGCCAAAGATGTACAAGTATAAAAACAGGTGAAGAGTAATATGAACAAAAGGGACCTAAAAATAATAGCCAAATTCATCTATGGTCAACTGGCCTGAGGGACTTGGTCATTTGAGTTTTAGACCTATAAAAAAAACAAACTTGCATATCTTTTTTATGCCATGCTTACAAAAGTAGCTGTCAACTAAAATACTATCTTAGAGAAATGAACATACATCAAATAGACATCCAACTATTAAAGGGCCTTGGTTGTTGAATGGTATAAGTAGTATCACTAGCCTGTCAACTCTGAGGTTGTGAGTTTGAATCCTGCATGTGGCAGGTGCGTATGACTCCAATCTTAATTGACTTGGATTGTCAGTTTTTCCTGACTAAGATTGTGGTTCTGTCCAGGCACTCCAGCATATTCAAATAAAAAAAAAAACTTACCCCCACAGTAAAGAATAGTGCTTTAAGGATGTTTGCTACTCTGTTTCAAAATAAAAAGCTTTTTAAAAGACTGTTATAAATTGATAGTATATAAATGAAGGAACTAAAAACGCAGAAAAACATGTGCTTGTTTTCAAAATATAGGCCATTGAAAATTTGGCAGGAAATGATTCTCTCTAGATTTTACATACATTTAACAGCACCTTTTTTCTTTCAAAAACAATGAAAAAATAACAAGGATTTTATTATAAGATTTTCAAATCTGGCTTTTTAAACTATATGTAATAAAATTATGAAAAGAAAAGTAGGGATTAGCTGGCAAAATGTTTAATGGCAACCAGAGGATTCCGAATATGTGGCAAAAAAATCAAAAACAAGAGGACCGAACATCCTTAAGTAGCGTTAACCAGCAACAGACAATCAATCAATCCAACCATTATTGACCCACAACCTATGTCCATAAATATAACTCCACTTCTTTCCCTCCCACATTCATTTTAATGGAATAGCCTTTAATATTTTTTTTCCAGATTAACAGCTGAGGCTCTAGAGTACCAGAGAACATACAGAGATGAAGATAATATGGAAGATATGTTACAACACCTGTTTCAAGGATGTCAACAAAGTAATTCCTGTTTCTATGGTCACACCAATTTGATTTGAATTTCAAATCTGGCTCAGCGTTTCTGTCTAGTACAAATTAGGGTTTATATCCCTATCACATTAACATGTTCTGGTCCTGAGTATACATTTAATTTGCTACTGGACATTTGACAACCAACCATAATCATCAGTTTTAATCCTAAAAAAGATACCTTAAGAAATACTGCGGCATTTATTGATGGTAAATTCTAAACAACTTTCAAAAATGCTAGATAAATTAAGGGTTGTTTCATCACACAATTCTCCAGCATTACTGAATAGAATGACTTTATATTTGATAAACAGATTGGCAGTGATGTGTTGTAACGTTTGAGCGCCTTTCAGGTCAGTCACACACCTATTTCCTGTTTACTAGTACTTTAAAGTATGAGTGGCAATACGCTTAGCAAGACACAGTGTGATTTCTTATTGCTCCAGAAAATGATTTACTGCGGATTTAACAATTTACATGGAATACCAATTTTCGTGCTTAAAGGTAAACGACAAATTTGAATGTTCAAAGACGAACATATTTACTGTAAGGTTTGTATACAGACTTTGGCAAAAACCACAAAATAAAATATCCATGAAAATTCAATTTTGCCTCAATCCACGAAATTTGGTATCCACGAAAATAGATGAATCCATGTAGTATGATGAAAATTGAATTTGAAGTATGTGGCTACCTACATGTATATATATTTAGAGACAAGTTAGAAATTTTATCTCAAAAAACAAGTGTTGAATTGTTGGATTACCTTATCTTCTTTAGTGTGGACATCTTTTGTTTTCATGATAATAATAAAATCCACATGTTGAGAACAAAATTCATGTTTGAAATTTATTGGAGGCCTTGAAGTGGATAAATGTTAACGACTTGCTGAATGTAAAAGGTAGTGTAAAGGTTTACTCCTGTTTGATGTATCAAAGATTTTTTTATGAAACAACTTTTTATTAATCGTTTAACACCAGCAGTGCATTTAATAGTTTTGTATTTACTTTTTTTACAGCTAAAACTATGGATCAGCTACTGCAGCTGCCGCTGACAGAAAATGAGGAACGTCAGCTGATTAGATATCTTACTGATAGTAAAGAACCACACTCCCTAGAACTACTGGTTTTACACTACCTACAGAGGGCTAGATATGTAGAGGCCATACAACTCAACGAGAAGTTAAAACATGCAGTAATTGTAAGTCAATAAAAATAGTCTTTTTAAAATATTTTGTCTCTACCATACCTAATTTTAGAATTTGACCATCTGTACTGAAATCTATTTATATGCATTCATATAGTTCAAAGTGCATTAATAAGGTGAGATAAAAGGTATGGAGCACAACAATACCTCAATCATGAAGGAATAAACTGTTAATCTTGACTTTGTATTTTGATTTCAGTTTGAGCCAGCGTCCAAAGCTCGTGAGAGAGCATCAGCGAGAAACGCCATGGTAGATGGTTTCCTTTCTGTTCTTTCTGCAGTGCAGAGAAAAATGGTGTTTGAAAATCAAAGTATACCAAAGAAAAAAACTGCCAAACTAAGAGAAGGTATGTAGTATGGAATAAACTTCAAATTGATGAAAGTTTGTTGTTGGTATTTATCAGCATTTTCAGCATCCTTTGCTATATCGTGGCGGCCAGTATTTATTGATGGAGAAGGCTTGAGTAAATAACTGTCAAAATACAATCTGACAGAATATCATAATATCAAGAATGGTGTTTATTCCCCTTAGAAATTACATGGCTAACAGACTATTTTCAAAGATTTCTCCTTTGTTGTTCATTAGATAACAATCATTGAAGGGGAGAAGTCGAGGAATTAAATACAAAGATTTAAGACCTTGGGAGACTCAGAAAACTGAGAAATAGTTTTAAAAAGTGTATTTTTAATGTTACTGAACACCACACAAGTAATTATAACTGTAAGTGGTAACCTGTAAAATGTTGCAATAATAACAACCCACGAAAAATGTTCATGTTTACAGTACTGGAAACTCTTGCATTGTTACTATGGTGGCATATAAAACCTTTTGATTATGATGTTCAGCATGGGTAAATGTTTTCATGTTAGGCAGGTGAGCCTGAGTCAAGGACTATTCAATTGACCTTTCTTGTGTGTTTATTTACAGTGAAGAAGCCACAGCCATTGTCTACAACAGTTACAAAGAACAGTCATGCTAAAATTGTGTCAAGGTCAAATCTTTTCCTGGAGATCTTAGAAAGGGTTCAAGAAGTTAAATTTGAAGATGAGGCTGAAACAAAGTAAGTAAACATTTAAAAAAGAAAGATGTGGAATATTTGAAAGTCTTTCCACTATCATATGCACAATTGTTTTTAATGACAAAAGTGAAAAGCCACTCTACCAAATTCAACCAGCACCTTATTTTCATGGTTCATTCATTGGTTAATATTTAGATTTGGTGATTAGAACTTTTTATGCCCCACCTAGGGGCATTATGTTTTTCGGTCTGTGTGTCCATTCGTTTGTCCGTTCTTCCGTCTGTCTTTTCGTCGGTCTGTCCCGCTTCAGGTTAAAGTTTTTGGTCAAGGAATTTTTGACGAAGTTGACGTCCAATCAACTTGAAACTTAGTACACATGCTCCCTATGATATGATCTTTCTAATTTTAATGTCAAATTAGAGTTTTGACCTCAATTTCATGGTCCACTGAACATAGGAAATGATAGTGCAAGTGGGGCAACCGTGTACTATGGACACATTCTTGTTCTTTGATAATATTGTTAACAACTTAACTAATTTTGATGCTGTGTATTTCTTATTATATTATTTTTATGTATTATAAAATTTTTAAAAAAATATTTTGGTGTTTAATGATGTTTATATTTTAGCTACCATATGCATTCATGGAAGATTGATATGACATTATATTTTGATAGTGCAGTGCTTTTCACTTGGGTGCAGTTTAATGTAATGTGGATTCGTTATTATTTTTGGGACACCAGCTCAGTATTCATGGCTTTCATGGGTATTGGTGCAACACAATTTTGAGAGCTCAAATTTCTTATAGACTTGAATGCAGAATTTTTCAAGTCCACGCAATAATATATGCAAAACTACAATTTATTCTCAATCAACAAAAAGTTGGTATCCGCAGAATAATTGATTCCAAAGTAATATTTTAGGAAAGTTGCTGTATATGCAGTGAAATTGATAATTTTCAACAAACCAGTAATATCCTGATGTATAGAGATCACCTTTTTCTTTTCAGTGACCAAGAAGAGTCCAAAGTTGGACCATTTGTGTGTACCCCTGTTACACCAAGAACAAGGTCTTTCTTTGGGTATGTATGGTGAAATTATGCAATTTGACTATTTGTACATGCTAAATTTGACTATTTGTACATACTAAAATTTTACTATTTGTACATACTAAAATTGGACTTTTTGTACATGCTAAAATTTGACTATTTGTACATGCTAAAAAATATAGAGCACAATCATCATCCCAAATGATATTTAAACAGTGAGTGTATTGAAAAATATAAAAAAAATAATTTCGAGTGACGTTTGTGCTCTAAAGAAAATTTAGCCAGAATGTTTTAGCTCAAAATCTGACAAAATACACTTATAGTGTAACTTTAAAGATGTCACAGTCAGCCTAAATGTGTCATCATGGTTCCGTTAATGAATAGCCATTCTTCTCATGCTTACAAAATGTGATAAGTAATGACATCAGGCAATGTTTTTTTTTGATGAATTTACAGTAATTTAAAAGAAGACCCAAAATGTATGTTGTCCTTGTCAGATATTTCTTTGCAGACAATAAAGGCAAGTAATCCCTGGTTGCAGGCATTTTTTTGTAGAACTCTGCAAACATTAAAATCCTGATTTTTTTTTAGACACAAACAGCCAGTTGTTTACATGGCACAACAAGAAAGTACACAGACGACATCACCATCAACATGGCAACCACCTGTGCAAGCTGCAGTTACTCCTTATAATCTGTCGAAAATGATGTCACCTGTGTCGACTAAAAGGTGGGTAGAACATTTTGTATTGTGTTGATGACAATTTAAAAATTAATTTTTTATGCTAAGTTTAAACATATTTTAATATTCAAAAATACAAATGGATCAGCCACAAGTTTTGTATTTAGTTATGTATTCTCCAAATCATACATAAGTATACACATAAATAAACACTACATATGTAGTGTATAACTTTAGGTGTAAAGGGAAATACAGACAAATTTTATTCCTGTTTTGTTCTCTTCAACAAAAGTACACCCTTGCCAATCCAATAACATGTCAAATGTGATTTTTACTACATTAAAATATTAAGCAAGATGGCAGCATCCTTGTTCACATGGTTAAATAGTTATACCTTCACATAGTATTTCAAGCTTACCATTATTTACACTTTCTTCTAAATTAACACTTGCCTTTTAAAAAAGTAGAAAATCCCAGTTTTAACATTTTTGGTTTTGCATGATATATAAAAATAAGGAGATGTGGTATTATTGCCAATGAGACAACTATTCTCCAAAGTTTAAATGAAGTGGATGTAAGCAATTAAAGGCAACCGTACGGCCTTCAACAATGAGAAAATACCGTATAGTCAACTATAAAAGGCCCCCGACATGAAAAATATGAAACAATTCAATTGAGAAAACTAACGGCCTAATTTATAACAAAACAAATATGACAAACATGAACCAATGATACCCGTTAGTATCTGTATTTAAGTAAATTTCCTTATCATGTAAATTAATGCAACAAACAAAAGTGTAATTTGACCTATTTGCTAAAAAAAGTCTTCATAATAAATTATTATTAAATTCAATTGTTTTGGTTATTTCAGAAAAGGCAAGATATGTGGTGCTGATGCTTTGAGTATGTTACAGACACCTGTACCACAGAGGAAGTCACTTTCAAGGTCAAGGACATCATCATCAGTACCAGCTACTCCTCAGTCTATACTTAAAGTCCGTCAGTTTATTTCCAACAAAAGTCCACAGATTTCTCCACCAGAGTCCATGACAAAAGGTATGGATATAAAGACTTCTTATGAAAGTCTTGGAGTTTGGTTAAAAATTTATTTTTTCCCCTCTCTCTCTTTCATTCCAATGAAAATAGGGAAAGGAAATTCTTGTCCAGAAGGTTTTCCAAATAAACACACTAAAAAAAAAACTTGAAGGAGGAGGCATTATTTAAGGGCTATTCCAGAAAAAATTGTATGGGGGGGTTGGAAGGCAGTTTGTTTCAGCTCCCACCACCCAGACAATTGTAATTGAGAATCATAGTGCATTATAGTGTGAAAAATTGCTCTGATACCCATCACCAGTGTATTATTAATATAAAGTGCCTTCCAACCCCCCCATACATTTTTTTCTGGAATAGCCCTAAGATATATTGGCACTAAAACCGAGTGTTTTGGAAAATTTCTCCAATGTGTAAAATGAACATTGCATCAATGTACTTACATTGGTTTTTGCCTAGCCTGCGACTTTTGTTGCAAAAGCGAGACATAGCAATCCTACATTCCCTCGGCGGCGTCCACAAATATTCACTCTGTGGTTAAAGTTTTTCAAATTTTAATAACTTTCTTAAACTATCCTGGATTTGTACCATACTTGGACAGAAGCTTGTTTATGATCATAAGATCGTATTCAAAAATAAATTTTGTTAAAAAAAATCCTGTTAATCCGTATTTTACTTATAAATGGACTTAGTTTTTCTGCCAGTTAACATTATATTCACTCTGTGGTTAAAGTTTTCAAAATTTTAATAACTTTCTTAAACTATCCTAGATTTGTACCAAACTTGGACAGAAGCTTGTTTATGATCAAAAGCTAGTATCTAGAAGGAAATTTTGTAAAATAAAATTTCCTGTTTTTCCTTATATTACTTATAAATGGACTTAGTTTTTCTTCCAGTTAACATTACATACAGTTTGCAGTTAAAGTTTTTAAAACATTTATTAGATTCATAAACCATCCTGGATTCTTACCAAACTTGAACAGAAGCTTCTTACAATCAAAAGATAGTATCTAGAGGAAAATTTTTAATAATTATTTCCCCTTTTTAGCTCACCTGGCCCGAAGGGCCCAGTGAGCTTTTCTCATCACTTGGCGTCCGTCGTCCGGCGTACAAATGTCTTCTTTTAGAGAACCACTGAATGGAATGAAACCAAACATGGCATGAATGTTCCTTATGAGGTGCTGACCAAGTGTTGTTACTATGAAGCTGATCCATACTCCAAGATGGCCGCCAGCTGGGGACTTAGTTTAACATAGGACCCTATGGGAAATACATACAAATGTCTTCTTTTAGAGAACCACTGAATGGAATGAAACCAAACATGGCATGAATGTTCCTTATGAGGTGCTGACCGAGTGTTGTTACTTTGAAGCCGATCCATAATCCAAGATGGCCGCCTGCAGGGGACTTAGTTTAACATGGGACCCTATGAGAAATACATACAAATGTTTCTTTTAGAGAACCACTGAATGGAATGAAACCAAACATGGCATGAATGTTCCTTATGAGGTGCTGACTGAGTGTTGTTACTTTGAAGCCGATCCATAATCCAAGATGGCCGCCAGCGGGGGACTTAGTTTAACATGGGACCCTATGGGAAATACATACAAACGTCTTCTTTTAGAGAACCACTGAATGGAATGAAACCAAACATAGCAAGAATGTTCCTTATGAGGTGCTGACCAAGTGTTGTTACTTTGAAGCTGATCCATCATCCAAGCTGGCAGCCAGCGGGGGACTTAGTTTAACATAGGACCCTATGGGAAATACATAAAAATGTCTTCATTTAGAGAACCACATAATGCAATGAAACCAAACATGCGCATGAATGTTCCTTATGAGGTGCTGACCAAGTGTTGTTACTATGAAGCAGATCCATAATCTAAGATGGCCGCCAGCGGAGGACTTAGTTAAACATAGGACCCTATGAGAAATACGTACAAATGTTTTCTTTTAGAGAACCATTGAATGGAATGAAACCAAACATGGCATGCATGTTCCTTTTGAGGTGCTGACCAAGTGTTGTTACTTTGAAGCTGATCCTTCATCCATGATGGCTGCCAGATGGGGGCAATGTTTAACAAAGGACCCTAGGACAATACATACAAATGACTTCTTTTAGAGAACCACATACTGAATGGATTGAAAACAAACATGGCATGAATGTTCCTTATGAGGTGCTGACTAAGTTTTGTTACTTTGAAGCTGATCCTTCATCCATGATGGCCGCCAATGGGGGGACTTCCTTTAACATAAGACCCTATGGGAAATACATACAAATGCTTCTTCTAGAGGTGCACTGAATGGAATGAAACCAAAACATGGCATAAATGTTTCTTATGAGGTGCTGATTAAGTGTTGCTACTTTGTTGCCGATTTACTGTTCAAGATGGCCACCAGGATTTTTTATTAAATTACAGGACCAATATTAAACCAAATTTGGCCTCACTCATTATTAGGGTATCTGTTATGATTTTAATCTATTTTTACATGATTTCCAAAACCAAAGTAGAATCAGGTGAGCGACACAGGCTCTTGAGAGCCTCTAGTTTGTTGAGCCTGCGACTAACAGCAAAAGTAGGGGAGACACTGGGTTCCATGGAACCCTTACAAATTTGTTTGTTATGCCCCCGCCGTAGCGGAGGGGGCATTAAGTTTTACCCTTGTCTGTATGTACGTATGTACGTCTGTTTGTCCCAAAATTGGTTTCCATTCTCTAACTTGAGTTTGCCTCAACCAAATGTTATGAAACTTATACACAATGCTTATTACCACAAAATACAGATCAAGTTTGAATTTTAGTGGCATCACTTTAACAACCGTTCTAGAGTTACGCCCCGTTATAAATGGAAAAATTGCAAAATTTTTAGTTTCCGTTCTTTAACTTAAGTTTGTCTCAACCAAATATTATGAAACTTATACACAATGCTTATTACCACAAAATACAGATCAATTTTGAATTTTGGTAGTGTCACTTTAATCATTCTAGAGTTATGCCCCTTTATAAATGGAAAAATTGCAAAATTTTTAGTTTCCGTTCTCTCACTTAAGTTTGCCTCAACCGAATGTTATGAAACTTATACACAATGCTTATTACCACAAAATAAAGATCAAGTTTGAATTTTGGTGGGGTCACTTTTACCATTCTCGAGTTATGCCCCTTTATAAATGGAAAAAAATTCAAAATTTTTAGTTTCTGTTCTGTAACTTAAGTTTGCCCCAACCAAACATTATGAAACCTGTACACAATACTTATTACCACAAAACTCAGATCAAGTACAAATTTGGGTAGCGTCACTTTTATTGTTCTTGAGTTATGTCCCTTTATAATGTTGTATGCAAGCGGGGTCATCATCTGTGTCCATGGGGACACATTCTCCATTTATTTAAAATATTTCCTTTTCATGGGTCATATAGCTGTGAAATGGCAATAAATTCATTGAAATTACACAAAATCTTGAAATATTAGGTTTATGTTTATAAGGGGACACAGCAACCCATCATAACCACAGGAAAATTTGGTCTTTAGTAATAGACAATTGTGTAAACAAGTTTTGAATGCTTTAACAGACACTTCCAAAAATCTGCTATCAACACCTAATTCTTCAATGCACTTAAAATTTAGACATAAAAACTATCGACCAGGTTCCAGACATGGGATAGGCACTTTGTCCTATGACAGGAGTGAACAATTTTTTTTTTTTTTAATGCCCCCGCTACTAGGCAAAGGGGGCATTAAGTGTTATTCTTGTCCGTCTGTAGGTACGTCCCAAAATTCGTTTCAGTTCTCTAACTTTAGTTTGCCTCAACCAAATGTTATGAAACTTATACACAATGCTTATTACCATAAATCACAGATCAATTTCGAATTTGGGTGGCATTACTTTTGCAGTTCTCTAGTTATGTCCCTTTATAACATTATATTCAAGGGGGCATCATCTGTGTCCCATGGACACATTCTCCATTTATTTTTTTATCTAAATCAGTAAAATAACAAAAGGTAAAGAGAAAAAATCCTAACTGAAATCAGTTCAGAAAGCCCATAAATAACAAAAAATTTAGCTTCAGGAAAAAAGGGGAATGCCATAACAAAATGAATATATATTTTTGAAGAATTTATGTCATGTGTTTTTTTTCACATAGTTTGTGAAGAAGTACCAGTCATATCAGCACCTGGAACTCCTCGGTCTGTTTCCTTCCGAGAAGCTACAATACAGGGTACACCAAAACAACTAAGATTTATGGAGCCACAGGCTGAGGTCACAAAGGTCAAATCACCGCAATCATCTACAAAAGGTCACAAGTCAATATTGAGGTCACCACCAAGTCCAAAATCAGTGAAAGATAGAAGCCCAACTCCAGAAAGGTAGGTTTGATTTTGCCAGGTAAATTCAGGAATTTTTGCGTGCAATTAATTGTGTTGAATAATTGACTAAAATGTGAGATAATTTATTGCTATTTCTGGAAATTGTTCATACTTACTGCCATCAAATTTAAAATAAGAGTAAGGAGTTTTAATTTTTGCAAAACCTTTGTAGTTGCAATTTTCACAAAAATAAAAACATCGCAAAAAGCACTTTTCGCAATAATAAAAAAATAATTGCAAAAAATTTCTACACTTTCATTATTATTGTTCGTGGCATGTTATGTGAACCACTAATTTAAAATTGAAAGAAAAAAGTAAAAATTTTCTATAGGCTTGTAGGCAGACTTTGGCAAAACCATGAAATGAAACATCCACAAAAATTCAATTTTTCCTCAATCCACAAAAATGGGTACCTAAGAAAATAAATGAATCCTTAGTACTCTAAATTCAGAAATTGTTGCATGCATTTATTATTGTGATTTTTGAAGAATGAACAAAAATTCGAGTTAAATTGTTATGATTTCAGGTAAAATTACAAACCGATATATGTATCAGATATCCGAATGCGAGTTCTTATTATTTTGATACTCAATGAGTCGCATTATTTGAATTTATAAAACCTCGCAATAATTTCTGAATTTACAGTATATGATTTATTGATTATTTCCTAGTCGACAGTTACATGTGTACCAATTACAGATGACAATTAAAGAGTACTGCTTTAATAAGTGATGAATAGAAGGTGCATAAGTTTTTTAATTGGCAACACTGCATTTGCAAGTACAAAAGTTTTTTTTATGCAAAATGTAATGTCAGACCAATATAATAAGACTGAAATGTTTTATTTTAAATAAAAATATAGAAAATTTAATTTCAATGAAATTTATTCTGTGGATTCATTATTATTCGTCAAGTACCAATATTTCATGGGGATAGGTCAACAAAAAATTTAAATGTTCAAAAAAGTACAAATTTTCTATTGCCTTGAAAAACAGAAATTTGGCAAACCACAAATTCAAATATCCACGACAAATTTTCCACAAACAAAAAACATTGATATCTACAAATTTTGAATATAGTGATTGTGCTAGCTGAGACTCATATTCTTGTTAATGCTATGGTTTATTCAATTTCAGCATATCAAGGTCACCTAAACATAAATCAACGTTAGATATTCTACAGAGACCACCACTCCACAACACGGAGCGTCCTTATACTAGCCATGAACAACCATCACTTGAGGAAGACACAGAAACTGATGATAGTGTCATGATAGTGGACAGCGAAATTACATTTAATTGTTCTAAGAAGTCTGAATCAGAGGGTAATTCGAAAGGACTGTTCTATTAAACTGGATGTGGGAGGGTGTTGAGGGAATTTCAAAACCCCCAAATAACCAAAATATAATTTACTTCATTGTTTAATTAGGCATACATCTAATGGACATCCAACTATAAATGATCCATAACTTATGACCAAAAACTGTTGAAGGTGAATTTTATTGAAGAAAAATCACAGCAAAAATTGTCAACTTTGCTTTCAAGAATTAATGCATTTTAAAGGTTACTTAAATAGATTGAATGAGGATGTATGTGAATTGTACAAAAAAATATTTTAGGATATTTTCTTTCTTCCAAGGTCACTTAGAACAATTTGAAAATGCAACTTTAATTTAAAAATTTGTTTTTATTTTTGGGGGGGGGGGGGGGGGGGAGGGGGTCACAGATGCACTGGTCAAAGGTTTTGGGAAATAAAATTTGAATTTGTAAAAAAATTCACACAAGCAGAAATAAGTTTTTCAAGTTACTGTTAGGACTCAAGAGTCATTTTCAAGATATAGGTATTGGTTGATTGATTGATGGCTCTATTACACCCATGACAATGATTGCATGCATATTTTGGACAAAAGGCGTTAATGTGGTACTGTTGTGAACATAAATTTGTAATATGCAATCAAACTGAGTTACATTTTTAATGTGCTAGCTCACAAGGTAACTGTTGGTTGGAAGACATGTTGCCTTTCCTGGACACATTATTCTCATTAGGAGCTGATCAGCATTATCCCTTATTCCTAAAGGAAGAATGTTGGGGAGAAGCTGCGAATACCAATTTTCAAGTTTTTTTTATCTTGATCACAGTCAAGTTGAGTAACAGATGTGATATCACACTCTAATATTTGAAATTTATTCTAGAATGAAATTAGCTTTAGAAGGAAAATAATTTTAAGGCTGTCAAAAGATTAAATGATTTCATAGTATTTTTGTTTTTCAGGGGAGGGTAAAGACAGCAGTACCGAGGAGTTTGATGAACGACCAAATATCCTAGCACATCCTCCAGCCCCTCCTGCTCAAGTAACTTCTCTAAAAAAATCTGTGATGCTGACTAGTCCTGTTAAACTTAAACATAGTCCACTGAAAACTACCGCAGCACCAAGATCTCCTACGGTCAAGTTAACAAAATCACCAGCGAGAGGAATGATGCCACCAAAATTTGAATTCCCAGAAAAGGATATATCAGAACAAGACCGTAGCCCTCGTGTGAAATTTGCCGAGATAGACAGCGGAAATAGTCGACCGTTAGAAACAGCTACTCAATCAGATGAACCAATAGAAATTGATGACACTGATGAGGACGATGTTAACCCTAATAACGAAAAGGTGGTTTCATTTGGTGTAGTTGAAGAACACAGAGATTCTATACATGAGATTGATGATAGCTTGTCTTCAGATGAAGATCTTGATGACAAAATTAACGAGATTGAAAACAGAATAACTGATCTTGTTCAGCAAGAGGAAATAGAGGAGTATGTGGTGGAGGACAGAGAACTGAAACCACAGAATTTGTTTAAAAAGAAAGATAGATCAGTTTCGATAAGATTTGTTTCTCCAGATAGTAGTTCGGGTATACAGGAAAGCATTCAAGTTTGCGATGAAAGTGTTTCTGATGATGTTACTAGCTCCGATAAAGAGGAGACTCACATTTCATCGGACGAAAATATACCTATAGTTTTATCTTCTTATGAGAAAGAGGAGGACTCGTCAGTTTCTGAAGGTGAAGCCAAAGTTACAACTACTGGGGAGGATGAAAATTTACATCTAGAGTTGAGTGATGAGAATGAGATTATGGATGTAGATGATGGGCAGATTCCTTCAGAGGTAAAGGTGTCGGGTCATTCTGATTCTGAAGCAGCCCTGATCAATGTCTACTCAAATTTTGTTGATTCTTTGTCAAAAGATGCTATGGAGTCAGAAGATAAATGTGAAGATGAGAACCAGCTACAAGCAACTGGTATTGAGGTTGAGGAAAAAGTTACTACACCTCTTAGTGACCAGCTAAATGATGAATATGCTACTAATATTCACAATGCTGAGGAACAGATTGAGAGTGATTCACTAGGACAGGACAACAAGGAACCAGTCAAAGTAGAAGATTCAGAATTGCCTCCATTGACAGAAATAGAGGAAAATTGTTTCGATGAAAAACGTCTTTCTACTTTGTTAGAAAATGAAGATGACGATAATTTAGAAGATGACGTTAATTCTGATGGAGAAGTTTTAGAGAAGAGGTCACCTTATAAAACTTTCCATCCTCACAAACCTCGAACAAGGAGTGATTCGTTGTCGGAAGAGCCAGAACTACGTAGATCATCAAGACGTTTGTCCTCAATGTCAATAGTTGAAGAGGCAGAAGCTGCGTTGCCTGTCCCTAAATCACCAGGTCGTAAAAAAAAAGGAGAAGTCATCATAGAACCACTTAAGTCTCCAGGAAGAAAAAAAAGTGCTCTTAACACTGAATCTGAGCTCAAAGAGAGTGGCATTGTAATTAAATCTCCTGCTAGAAGAGGTAGAAAAGGTCATCAGGATGAGAATGCTATTTCAAAATCTCCTAGTCGTAGACAGAGTCTTAGAATTGCTGAAAGTGTTCAAATAGAAACAGCAAAATCACCAAGCCGTAGAAAAGGCACAAAAAAAGAGGAAGACGAAAATTTAGAATCTCTAGAATCTAAAGAGCAAGGTGTTTCTAAATCACCAGGTCGCAGAAAAAGTGTTAAAAATGCGGAAGATTTGGAAATTATGAAATCACCCGGTCGTAGAAAAAGTATCAGAAATGTGGAAGATTCAAAAGTAACTAAATCACCAGACAGTGTTCACACTGATGAAGAGGACTTAGAAAAAGTGCAATCACCTAGTCGTCGTAGAAGTACAAAAATTGTTAACTATAAAGGAATGACATCACCAAGCAATAGGAGGAACAAGAGTAAATCACCAGAACACTCACAAAAAGAAAAATCTGTTTCGAAATCTCCAGGGAGAAGAAAAAGTTTCTTAAAAGATGTTGACAAAATTGAAGAAAGTGAGTCATCAGTTCCAAAATCTCCTGGGAGAAGAAAAAGTATTTTAAAAGATGTCGAAGAAAGTGAGTCATCAGTGTCAAAATCTCCTGGAAGAAGAAAAAGTATTTTAAAAGATGTTGACAAACTTGAAGAAAGTGAGTCAACAGTTCCAAAATCTCCTGGGAGAAGAAAAAGTATTTTAAAAGATGTTGATAAAATTAAAGAAAGTGAGTCATCTGTTCCAAAATCTCCTGGGAGAAGAAAAAGTATTTTAAAAAATGTAGACAAAATGGAAGAAAGTGAAACAACAGTTTCAAAATCTCCTGGGAGAAGAAAAAGTATTTTAAAAGCTGAAGATGAGTCCAACAGCATCCTTAAATCTCCTGGAAGGAGAAAAAGCAATATTGTAGAAAACACCAAGTCTCCAGGAAGAGGAAGAAAGAAAGGTGTGAAGATTGTAGATGAAGATAATGCTGACAGTGATAAATTGGTGTCTGAAAACGATACAAATACAGAAGACAATGACAAAATTAATGTGAAGAAATCACCCAGTAGGAGGAAAAAGAGGGAAGATTCATTTACAGAGGTTAAGTCTCCTTCTAGGAGATCAGTAGCATCGAGACAATTGTCGGCTGTTTCTGATGAAAGTTTGTCGTCAAGGAGGTCATTAAGGTCACAGTCACCTATGTTTGAAGATGAGGATGAAATTCCTACAGAAGTTGGAGATCAGGTAATGTTTGTTTCACAGTTTTGAAAAATACATATTCTATATAATAATTTGAAAGCAATCACCAAATCCTTCTGCATTGTAAAAATGCTGCTAAACTGTAAAAAAAAACATGTTAGTGCATGAACAAAGGAAGAATAGATAGTTCTAAAAATTCTTAGAAAGTGAAGCAATGTTTTGCTTTTTATCTAAATGAATCAAATTTATCTTTTGCCAATATGAATTGTTTCGTTTGTCACAGTTTTTGATAAAGTGATTTCCTTGTTCTAGTATAAAACAAGATAAAAATAGTTCACACAATGTTAAATCCACAGAAATGATCAAGTAAAAAACCTCTTGCCTCCAATGTCATGAATGGTTAAAAATGTTTAATTTAAGATATCATTACCGGAACAGTATTTGTCTAAATGTAAGAAAAAATCTCAAATCATTTCTGTCTTTTAGGCCCCATTTCTTCATTGAACTTCCAATGCATTTTTACATCTTTGAATTTTCAAGCATTTCTCTGGGCACTTTCCAATAATGGTTAATCCAGAGTGCAACTTTGAAAACTTTAAGAAACATGCTGTGTTCACAAAAGTTGCTGTGGTTAAAGTTTTTTTAGTCATCAATAATTTTGTCAAACCTTCATGGAGTTTTATGAACTTTGGACAGAAGCTTGTTTATGACCAAAATACAGTATCCAGAGCAAAATTTTGAAAATATTTATTTTCATTGTTCCTTATTTTACTGATAAATGGACTTAGTTTTTTTTGCAGTTAACATTCAGATTCAGTCTAAAGTAAGTTTTTCCGTCATCAATAACTTTATCAAACCTTCATGGAATCTATGAAATTTGGACAGAAGCTTGTTTATGACCAACATACAGTATCCAGAGCAAAATTTTGAAAATATTTGTTTTCATTTTTCAGTATTTTTCTGATAGATGGACTTAGCTTTATTACAGATAACATTTACAGACAGTCTGGGATTAATTTTTATTTTGACATGTTAAATTTGTAAACCTTCATGGATTGTTATGAAACTTGGACAGAAGCTTATCTTAAAGACCAAGAAATAGCATCTAAAGGAAAAGTTTGAATTTGTTTTTCAATTCTGTATTTTACTGATAAATGGACTCACTTTTTAAGTCAACATTACACTTTTACACTGACAGCAGCAAGCGCAGCAAGACACAGGGTTCCATTTATTTGTTGGATGCCAAATTTCGTGGGTATAGGGAAACCATGAATTTAAATGTTCAAGGAAGTGCAATTTTTCTATAACCTTATCAGCAGACTTTGGCTCTTTCATGAAATCTAATATCTAAGAAAATACAGTTTTTCCTAAATCCATGAAAATTGGTACCCACAAAATAAATGTATCCATAGTAATTGACTTTTCTTATCCCATCCTGTCTATTTCAATTAACAATTGAGGCAAATGCTTTGTAACTTTTGTTCCATGAGAATAGATGTAAATACATTGTAACTTTTGTTCCATGAGAATAGATGTAAATACATTGTAACTTTTGTTCAATGAGAATAGATTTAAATACATTGTAACTATTGTTCCATGAGAACAGATTTAAATGCTTTGTAACTTTTGTTCCATGAGAACAGATTTAAATACATTGTAACTATTGTTCCATGAGAACAGATTTAAATGCTTTGTAACTTTTGTTCCATGAGAACAGATTTCAATACATTGTATTACTTTTGTTACTTTCAAGCAGAAAGAACAAATGCAGTCAGATGGAGAAATACTGACCCCACCAGATTCAGAAATGGATTCACCAAGTAAAAGTAAGGTAAGAAAGGTTAAATATTGTAAAAAAGATATACATAAAAAACTACTCAGAGTTTGAAAATACCATTGACGATTAATTGTTCAAATTCAGACCATCACATGTGGTTGCAGTATAGTCAAATCCCTCCTAAAAATAAATCAAACAACTTTGTTTTTACTATTGTGTTTAAGCATTTTATGCATCATAGTTTAATTATTTACAGATAATGATTTCAAATTCACTCAATAATAACTTGACAAAAGTAGCTAAAGAGTACTTTCAGTTGAAATTATTCACTCATTGTCTTGATCGATTGGTGTTTAATGCCACTTTCAGCTCTAATGGCTATTTCGTGGCAGTCAGTTTTTATTGTTGGAGGAAGCTGGAGAGAACCGCAACCTTTGGCAGGAAAACTGACTATACTTGTCAATTAAGAGATTCGAGCACATCTGCCACATGCGGGATTTGAACTCACAACCTCAGTGTTGACAACAATCTCTTTAATAATATTGTATTTTGTACTCTGTAAGAAGAAGGTAGAGTAGCCTGGCAATTGTACCACATGCAGATTGTCCAAAATTCATGGTTTCTCCCTACCCACAAAATGCACAAAAGTTAGTATGAGCAGATTAATCCACAATATATATTCTGAATGGATTAATGTACAAAACTTCCATACTTATGTAGTTGGCCTTGAAACATTTTAAACAAGTATTAGGATGTTCTGAATTATTTTTTTTCTGGCATTTTAAGTGTTTCCCTTGATGGTTCATCTTTCCATCCGTCCTTCTGTCGGTCTCATTTTTGTTTCCACACTCTAACTTAAATTTGCATGAGTTTTTGTCTCACCTTGACGGAGTCAAAAAGTGAGACATAGGTATGCTGTTTCTGGCAGCGGCGTCAACAATGTATTAGTTTGTGATTAGGTTAAGTTTATGGTGAACCACTAGTGGTAGGTCAATGATATTTGGTATGCAGTTGTATTAGCATTGGCACATCTCATTTCCATGGAGATTATTTGACCCTGCCCCCTCAGTCATGGTCTATTGACTTTGAAACTTTTGCTTAGTTTACATGTTTTAGTTTGTGATTAGAAAAATTTGTTGGCATTTGCAAGTATCGTTTCCATGGAGATTATATAGCCCCAACCCCTCAATTGACTTTGAATCTTTTACATAGTTTACAAGTTAATGTTTGTGTTTAGGTTTGTTTAAAGGGAACTACTTATGATAAGTCAATGGTATTTGGTATGCAGTTGTATTAGCATTGGCACATCTCATTTCCGTGGAGATTGATTAGCCATGTACCTTCAGTCATGGTTCATTGACTTTGAATATTTGCATAACTTACATGTTAAAGTATTGCTATTTTATTTTCAACATTTGCATTATAAAAATTACAAAAAGGTGAGACATATCTCTGTGTTAACAGTTTATATGAAACTTATTCACAATGCTAAGAACTAAAACTTGCAGACATAGTTGAAATTTGGGCAGTGAGTCACTTACTGTTATAGAGTTATCCCCCTTTATATTAAACTTGGAAAATTTCAAATTTTTCCGTTTCTGCACTCTAACTTAAGTTTGCCTCTTTTAAAGTCAATGAAACTTATACACAATGCTAAGCACAATGCTCAGATTTTTCGTTCCTGAATTAATACAAATCTAATGTTGAACTTGCCCGACTGCTATATGACATTCACAGAAATTGAGAAGAAAAGCATTGGATAACTTTGAGGTGGTCATAAAAATTAGATGGAAAGCACATCAGAGCTTATCAGAAAACTTATTACATAAGAAATAAAAACAAAAACAGTAAATAAATGAAAATAACACACAGCACAAAAATACCTCAGACAAGAACAATAGAACTCTCTAAAAACTAGCTGTGACATCAAATGTTCTCAAAAAGTATTTTCATATATTATAAGCAAGCTTAAGTGGGAGCATTCGTGTCCTCAGACACATTCTTTTTTATTTTCAATATTTCACTAATAGATGGACTAAGTTTTTGTGGCAGTCAACATTACACTTTTCGCTGACAGTGCTCAGCAGTTGAAAGTGAAACATATTCTACAGAACCTTTTACAAAGTTTATGGTTAAAAGAGTTCCTTTTCTGATTTTAATTTCCAAACACTGTCTCTTTATATTATCATATGGTTATCATTAATTTTCAGAAGAGTACAGTAACCCCAACAAGAGGTCGTAGAGGTAGACAATCAACTACTGCTTCCAGACGGTCAAAGAGAAATGAGGATAAAACAGAGACATCTGATTTATCTGAAACAGGTAATATGGTAGTCATCCCTTCATATTGAAATGAGATGGAGGTATAATGAAGAAAGGATTGTGTATCATTCATGTGTTTTTCGCTGAAGATTAGCTGTTGTAAAATTGTACTAACTGTATAAACGTTTGGTTTACTTTCCTTGACCATAGAAAGCTTTTTTTTGAGACTTTAACAATATATTTCCTAGGAATAATGTTTATGATGTGAAGGAGTACAGGTTCGCAGAATTGTTGTCACTTTAATTCCATAATTCACTATTTTCACTTAAAATTGTATCTTAATAGTTTTTAATTGCAATAAAAAAGTAATAACTAAACATTGTCTTGGATATGAATTTTAATATTAAAGTAGTCAATACAAGATTGCAGACAAAAACTGATAATATGAAATATTTGTCAAGGTTGCTAATTAAATCATTTAAGTACCTGAAACAAATGTTTTGTTGATTTTTATACGACCGCAAAAAAATGTTTGTGGTCGTATATTGGTATGACGTTGGCGTCGTCGTCGTCCGGCGTCATCGTCCGAAGACGCATTAGTTTTCGCACTCTAACTTTAGTTTAAGTGAATGGATCTCTATGAAATTTTACCATAAGGTTCAATACCACAAAAGGAAGGTGGGGATTGATTTTGGGGGTTATGGTACCAACAGTTAAGGAATTAGGGGCCAAAAAGGGGCCAAAAATAAGCATTTTCTAGTTTCCAGACAATAACTGTTGGAACGGTGTATGGATCTCTCTGAAATTATACTACAAGTTTCCATACCACAAAGGGATGGTTAGGATTTGCTTTGGGGGGTTATTGCTCAAACCGTTTAGGAATTAGGGGCAAAAAAGGGGGAAAAACAAGGTTGTCCTGGTTAATGGACAAATACTTTAGTACAAAACATAATTTAAAGCAGTGTAAGGGAGATAAATCAAATACATCATTGAAATTATCTCCCTTACACTGCTTTTAAATTATGTATAAAGTAATGGTTAATGAACAATTAAGATAATTTAAAACAGTGTAAGGGAGGTAATCCAAATACAACGTTTTGGTTACTTCCCTTACACTGCTTTTAAATTATGTTTAAAGAAATGCATATTTATAAAGGAAGACCAGTAAAAATATCTGCAAATGTTGCATCTTTTTTTTTTACAAAAAAATCCATATGAAAGATTTGATTGATTGATTGATTGTTGTTTGCTTTACGCCGCATTAGCACAGAAAGGCTATATCGCGGCGAGAGCTAATTCGATGAAAGATTTGACACTATATTTTAAATTCTATTATAAAATAGATTAAGTTAGCACTATGGTAAATTTAAATGGGTAATTATGGTTGCAAACTCCATTGGAAATTTGAATTGAGATTATGACCATATCTTGAGGGAAAGAATTTTTCAAGGGAAAAAAAGGGGGGGGGGGGGGGGGGTAAAAAGAAATTGTGGGGGGTCAATTTTTTCTCATTTCAGATTTCAGAAATTAAAAAGAATTATTCTTTAAATATTATTTTTTTTTCAAATTTCAAATATTGAAAAATTTCAAGAAGTAATCTTAAATTGCACAGTATGGCGCATTAGATTTGTAAAATCTTTGACCACATTTATTTATTTGTTAAGTTGAATCTAACCGTGTATTTAGATTTTTAATTTTGGGTCCAGTTTTCAAATTGGTCTACATTAAGGTCCAAAGGGTCCGAAATTAAACTTTGTTTGATTTTAACAAAAATTGAATATATGGGGTTCTTTGATATGCTGAATCTAAACATGTATTTAGATTTTTGAATTTTTGCCCAGTTTTCAAGTTGGTCCAAATTGGGGTCCAAAATTAAACTTTGTTTGATTTCAACAAAAATTGAATATATGGGGTTCTTTGATATGCTGAATCTAACCATGTATTTAGATTTTTTATTTGTGGACCCCGCTATGAAATTGGTTCATATTGAGGTCAAAAGGGTCCAAAATTAAACTTTGTTTGATTTCATCAAAAATTGAATTATTGGGGTTCTTTGATATGCCAAATCTAACCGTGTATTTAGATTTTTAATTTTGGGTCCCGTTTTTAAATTGGTCTACATTAAGGTCCAAAGGGTCCAAAATTAAACTTAGTTTAATTTTAACAAAAATTGAATTCTTAGGGTTCTTTGATATGCTGAATCTAAACATGTGTTTAGATTTTTGATTATGGGACCAGTTTTCAAATTGGTCCAAGTTGGGGTCCAAAATTAAACTTTGTTTGATTTCAACAAAAATTGAATATATGGGGTTCTTTGATATGCTGAATCTAAACATGATTTTAGATTTTTGGCCCAGTTTTCAAGTTGGTCCAAATTGGGGTCCAAAATTAAACTTTGTTTGATTTCAACAAAAATTGAATATATGGGGTTCTTTGATATGCTGAATCTTACCATGTATTTAGATTTTTTATTTGTGGGCCCGCTATGAAATTGGTTCATATTGAGGTCAAAAGGGTCCAAAATTAAACTTTGTTTGATTTCATCAAAAATTGAATCATTGGGGTTCTTTGATATGCCAAATCTAACCGTGTTTTTAGATTTTTAATTTTGGGTCCCGTTTTTTAAATTGGTCTACATAAAGGTCCAAAGGGTCCAAAATTAAACTTAGTTTGATTTTAACAAAAATTGAATTCTTAGGGTACTTTGATATGCTGAATCTAAACATGTGTTTAGATTTTTGAATATAGGACCAGTTTTCAAGATTGTCCAAGTTGGGGTCCAAAATTAAACTTTGTTTGATTTCAACAAAAATTGAATATAAGGGGTTCTTTGATATGCTGAATCTTACCATGTATTTTTATTTTGGACATTGGACCATAATAGGTAAATTAAAAAAAATGAAGTTCTTAGACCACATTCTTTCTGTGTCAGAAACCTATGCTGTGTCAAATATTTAATCACAATCCAAATTCAGAGCTGTATCAAGCTTGAATGTTGTGTCCATACTTTCCCTAACTGTTCAGGGTTCGACCTCTGCGGTCGTATCAAGCTGCGCCCAGCGAAGCATTTTATTTTCACTGATGCTATTGTCATAAATGCATCAGATATTTGTAAAACCCATTTATCTTTCTAATAAATAGCATAATCACGATAGATACAAAAAATATATGATGAGTTATGTATTATTGATGTTCAAAATATATGAAAAGGGTGGGGTACTTATGTCTCTGCTGCTCACCCGACTTCAAAAGGATTGAAGTGCTACTACTAGAATGTGGATTGTGTACAGTGAAGAAAACTATTGATGATCATGGTCAAAAATCTAGTTGAACTTTGTCACTCCCTGAGGTGTCCTTTGTGATAGCTCCCTCCTCTATTCTCTATCTGTTGTTAGGTTGCTTTCTTATTGAATACACCCAACATCACCTTTTATTCATATTGACTGATAATTATATGAAAAACATCCTGTTTTAAACCTTAAGTGTATGCGTTTTTATTCCAGAGTCTGAAGAAGTACAACCTGTGTTCTCATTTTCTAATCCAATGGAAGTTGATCTCCCAACTGAAGGTAAATATTTATAGAATAACTAATGGAAGAATTCAAATAGAGAAAAATATTCAACGAGTGACAGAATAACACATTAATTCACGAATGTGCGTAGCGCATGAGTTAATTATCAGTGTTGTTCGGTCACGAGTTGAATATTTTTCAATGTTTGAATTCTTTGATTAGTTATTCTTTTTATTACATTGGCAAATGGTCTTTTTTTCTGAAATTAAACTAGAATATGTAAGGAACTATATCTTTTTCTAAGCATTCACAATTTGTTTTGATCCGACGTCATGACAACGCCTATTGTTGTATGACGTCAGAGGAGTGAAATAACCATGTTTATTTCACATGTGAGATTATCGGTTTTTATTTCACTGGGTAATCAAATGTAATTCATTGCAACCAATGTAATAAAACACAATACATCATTCTAAGTAAGCCAGAGCTAGATTCCTTTTTATACCCCCCCCCCCCCCCCACACACACACACACACACACACAGTAGGCAACAGGGGTATAAGTGTTACCCTTGACCTTCCTTCTTTTCATCCATCCCATTTTCATTGCAAAGCTTGTTTGTCAGAAATAGGAATTTAAGAGAAACTCTAAACAGCAAAAATAATCTCCAGGGCAAGATCTATTTTATGCAAAAATGCCAGGGGAGCGATACAGACTTCTTTGGGCTTCTAGTTTTTATACTCCATTAAACTTTTTGGGGGGTATATAAGAATCACTTTGTCTGTCTGACAGTCCATCTCTGACTGACTGTCTCTCCATGTGCTGTCCATTTGACCCCTCATTGTAGGAGTTTTTGCCCATAAATGATAATGAAATATATGGCAAATATCTTGAAAAATACAGTAGGTAGAGAGAAAATTTAAACAGCAAAAATGATCAGCAAGACAAGATTACAAAAAGTCATCATGGCCAAAATCTTTAGTTGACATAAAAGGATATATTACCCTTCAAATTGGTTTTTTACAATTTTTTTAAGTGCGTGGTGAAAACTACAGTAAATACAAGGTAACTGTAAACAGGTCAAATATTCAGCAAGACAAGATCTACTGAAGTTTTGTCTTAAATTACAAATTATATAATGCCTGGACAAAATTCAACCCAACATTTTTTCTAAAGGACATGATGTTAGTTGTGCACCTGCTATTATAATTTTTTTATATGAATATTTTAAGGGCTTTGATATATAAAAACATGGACTTCCCCATTTCTGCTTATATTTTTTGGAGATGGTAGGCAAGATACTTTTTCATTGTGAGTAGATGCTCTGTGTTAAGTCAGATATTTTGTTGTTTATAACTACATTTGTAATCTGATATTGATGTTTATTATAGGCTACACAATTAATAGACTAATAGTAAAATATTTTAATTAATAATATTTATCGATTTTCCAGATTTTACCAAGGTTAAAGAGGCATCAGAAGTTCAGTCTTTCATTTTTTCACCTCCAGCCCCACCACGGACACGGAAATCAAGTTTCCATGAAGACACTTCACAGCTTGCTGCTCAAGAACATTCAATTTTGCTACCTTCAACATCAAGGGAGCAAACTCCAATTAGGTCAAGGGAGGGAACACCAGTAAAATCTGTTTCAAAAAGAGGCAGGCGACGAAAAGGGTCATCAGAATCAGACGTTTCTATTCCACTTTCGATTCCTGAGGAACCTCCAGGCACTACTACAGAAGAAACTGATGTGCAATCAGAAAGTGAACCTCCTATTAAAAAAGAGAAAAAATCAAGAAGGTAAGCACTACTTGAGGGTTGAATAATTTTTTTTATAGTGATGGCTACTTTTTATACGACCGCAAAAAAATTTTTGTGGTCGTATATTGGTATGACGTTGGCGTCGTCGTCGTCCGAAGACACATTAGTTTTCGCACTCTAACTTTAGTTTAAGTGAATGGATCTCAATGACATTTTACCATAAGGTTCAATACCACAAAAGGAAGGTTGGGATTGATTTTGGGGGTTATGGTACCAACAGTTAAGGAATAAGGGGCCAAAAAAGGGGCCAAAAATAAGCATTTTTGTAACTTCCAGTCATAACGTGTGTAAGTGTATGGATCTCTTTGACATTGTACCACAAGGTTCCATATCTCAAAGGGAATGCTGGGATTTATTTTGGGGGTAATTGCCTCCAAATTTTAGGAATTAGGGGCCAAAAAGGGGCAAAAAACAAGCATTTTTCTAGTTTCATGACAATAACTTGTGTGTAAGTCTATGGATCTCTCTGAAATTGTATCACAAGGTTCCATATCACAAAGGGAATGCTGGGATTGATTTTGGGGGTAGTTGCCTCCAAATTTTAGAAATTAGGGGCCAAAAAGGGGCAAAAACAAGCATTTTTTCTAGTTTCATGACAATAACTTGTGTGTAAGTGTATGGATCTTTATGAAATTGTACTACAAGGTTCCATATCACACAGGGAAAGCTGGAATTGAGTTTCGGGGTAATTGCCCAAAAAGTTAAGGAATTAAGGGGCCAAAAAGGTGCCAAAAATAAGCATTTTTCTAGTTTTCAGACGATAACTTGTGTTCAAGTGTATGGATCTCTCTGAAATTGTACTGCAAGGTACCATACCACAAAGGGAAGGCTGGGATTGATTTTGGGGGTAATTCCCTCAAAATTTTAGTAATAAGGGGCCATAAAAGGGCAAAAAAACAAGCATTTTTATACGACCGCAAAAAAATTTTTGTGGTCGTATATTGGTATGACGTTGGCGTCGTCCGAAGACGCATTAGTTTTCGCACTCTTACTTTAGTTTAAGTGAATGGATCTCTATGAAATTTTACCATAAGGTTCAATACCACAAAAGGAAGGTGGGGATTGATTTTGGGGGTTATGGTACCAACAGTTAAGGAATTAGGGGCCAAAAAGGGGCCAAAAATAAGCATTTTCTAGTTTCCAGACAATAACTGTGGAACGGTGTATGGATCTCTCTGAAATTATACTACAAGTTTCCATACCACAAAGGGATGGTTAGGATTTGCTTTGGGGGGTTATTGCTCAAACCGTTTAAGAATTAGGGGCAAAAAAGGGGGAAAAACAAGGTTGTCCTCATTAATGGACAAATACTTTAGTACAAAACATAATTTAAAGCAGTGTAAGGGAGATAAATCAAATACATCATTGAAATTATCTCCCTTACACTGCTTTTAAATTATGTATAAAGTAATGGTTAATGAACAATTAAGATAATTTAAAACAGTGTAAGGGAGGTAATCCAAATACGTGTTGGTTACTTCCCTTACACTGCTTTTAAATTATGTTTAAAGAAATGCATATTTATAAAGGAAGACCAGTATGGCACATTAGATTTGTAAAATCTTTTATTTGTTATGCCGAATCTAACCATGTATTTAGATTTTTAATTTTGGGTCCAGTTTTCAAATTGGTCTACATTAAGGTCCAAAATTAAACTTTGTTTGATTTTAACAAAAATTGAATATATGGGGTTCTTTGATATGCTGAATCTAAACATTGATTTAGATTTTTGATTTTTGGCCCAGTTTTCAAGTTGGTCCAAATTGGGGTCCAACATTAAACTTTGTTTGATTTCAACAAAAATTGAATATATGGGGTTCTTTGATATGCTGAATCTAACCATGTATTTAGATTTTTTATTTGTGGACCCCGCTATCAAATTGGTTCATATTGAGGTCAAAAGGGTCCAAAATTAAACTTTGTTTGATTTCATCAAAAATTGAATTATTGGGGTTCTTTGATATGCCAAATCTAACCGTGTATTTAGATTTTTAATTTTTGGTCCCGTTTTTTAAATTGGTCTACATTAAGGTCCAAAGGGTCCAAAATTAAACTTAGTTTGATTTTAACAAAAATTGAATTCTTAGGGTTCTTTGATATGCTGAATGATTATGGGCCCAGTTTTCAAGTTGGTCCAAGTTGGGGTCCAAAATTAAACTTTGTTTGATTTCAACAAAATTGAATATATGGGGTTTTGATATGCTGAATCTAAACGTGTATTTAGATTTTAGATTTTTGGCCCAGTTTTCAAGTTGGTCCAAATTGGGGTCCAAAATTAAACTTTGTTTGATTTCAACAAAAATTGAATATATGGGGTTCTTTGATATGCTGAATCTTACCATGTATTTAGATTTTTTATTTGTGGGCCCGCTATCAAATTGGTTCATATTGAGGTCAAAAGGGTCCAAAATTAAACTTTGTTTGATTTCATCAAAAATTGAATTATTGGGGTTCTTTGATATGCCAAATCTAACCGTGTATTTAGATTTTTAATTTTGGGTCCCGTTTTTTTAAATCGGTCTACATTAAGGTCCAAAGGGTCCAAAATTAAACTTAGTTTGATTTTAATAAAAATTGAATTTTTGGGGTTCTTTGATATGCTGAATCTAAACATGTGTTTAGATTTTTGATTATGGGCCCAGTTTTCAAGTTAGTCCAAGTTGGGGTCCAAAATTAAACTTTGTTTGATTTCAACAAAAATTGAATATATGGGGTTCTTTGATATGCTGAATATAAACATGTATTTAGATTTTAGATTTTTGGCCCAGTTTTCAAGTTGGTCCAAATTGGGGTCCAAAATTAAACTTTGTTTGATTTCAACAAAAATTGAATATATGGGGTTCTTTGATATGCTGAATCTAACCATGTATTTAGATTTTTTATTTGTGGACCCCGCTATCAAATTGGTTCATATTGAGGTCAAAAGGGTCCAAAATTAAACTTTGTTTGATTTCATCAAAAATTGAATTATTGGGGTTCTTTGATATGCCAAATCTAACCGTGTATTTAGATTTTTAATTTTTGGTCCCGTTTTTTAAATTGGTCTACATTAAGGTCCAAAGGGTCCAAAATTAAACTTAGTTTGATTTTAACAAAAATTGAATTCTTGGGGTACTTTAATATGCTGAATCTAACCATGTATTTTGATTTTGGACATTGGACCATAATAGGTAAATTAAAAAAATTCAAGTTCTTAGACCACATTCTTTCTGTGTCAGAAACCTATGCTGTGTCAAATATTTAATCACAATCCAAATTCAGAGCTGTATCAAGCTTGAATGTTGTGTCCGTACTTGCCCCAACTGTTCAGGGTTCGACCTCTGCGGTCGTATCAAGCTGCGCCCAGCGAAGCATTTTATTTTTAATAGTTTTGTGGATAATACTTAAATTGCCAGGTAATTGAGAAAAACTTAAAAGAAAAAATATTCAGCAAGTTAATACTAAGGGGATGACCATTTATTTTTCTGTGGGGCAGGAGGATTTTGAAAATGAATATCCTGGACTGGTAGGAAGTTGAAATAAATACCAAGATACTTTATGGCATCCAACATTGATTTGGGGGTACCAGGTTAATTGATACCATCTCTCATAGACTTGGGTACTAGGATACTTTAAAGCATCTTATAGACTTTGGATACCAGGATTCTCTTTTAAAAGACCATGTTGACAATGGTTTCAATGTGCAGCTGTACATAGACAGTTAGTGCATTTTATATTTCAGTATAAATTTATTTTTATTCATGTTACAGGAAGAAGAAACTTTTAAACTATGATGAGGTCAACTTAATTAGTCCAATTAAAGAGGAAGAAGGTGAAACAGAGGTAGAGAGACCTTTGACCCGACAAAGACTAAGACGTACACAGGAAATGCCAATTTTGACATTGCGTGGAGCAAAAGGAACTGGGGCATTGCCACGAAAAAAACGTGTGGCTAAGCTTTGGTGATTTTGCAACTGTTTTTAAAAAAAACATTCAATTGTACTACAAAATAAGAATTTCAAGTGCGAGTAGATAATATGTATGTCTGAGATATGGACTGGTGATCTCATGCAATCCCAGGAACTTTTTTTTATAAACAGTCAGTATCAATTTTGAATGTGTTTTACATTATATGAAATGCATTGCAAGTTTTTGTCATTGTCTTTCCACCCACATTACTGAAAATTTGCTGTGCTTGATAATATTTTAGCTCACCTAATGATTGTGTGAGCTTTTTGTGTCATTACAATCCTAACAACATACTTTACCAGAATCAATCATTCTGAAGTAGTGATGCCTAACCCCTGTAAAGGGTATCCTTTGACATAACTGCACTTTAAACAAACATTATTCAATATCTACATATCACAATGATTTCTAGCTCACCTTGCCAAAGGCAGTTTGCTGTAACTTGATAGCACTCATCCCACATCTAAGGATCATTAAAGACGCTTTTAAATTCTTGTTCCAAGGACTATTAAAAGAAATTATTTGAAAAGATTCTTTTGGCCTGTATTAGAAATTCTTGCACCATGGATGATTCAGTTAGCCTTAGTCCCGTTTGATCAGAAAAAATGCCATCTTGGAGAAATGAAGGCCCCTTTTTCTAATGTCCAGAATCTGCCCCTGTTCTAGGCTTGGTAGTAATTTTTTTCTAATCTGAGCTGTTGGGTCTATTGCTAAGCATGAAGACTTGACTTGATAGTTTCTTTGTATAGTATTTACTGTATGTTGTGTAGCATTGTTGCAAATCGGCAAGTATGACAACTAGGATGAGATATGATTAGAATTTAGAGCTGTTAGTGAGATAAATTAAAAAATCTAAGAGAGCCACTCAATTGTGTTCATTTCCCAATTTATAAAAAAATATGGTTTATAGGGTTTAAGTGACATATAAGCCAATGATTGGTTCTTTCATATTTGTATATTATTGTTACACAAAGGAGTAGGGGCAATAAGGCCCTTATTTGGCCCAACTATTACTGCAAATTTAAAAGTTATCCTACATATTCTTAAATTTGTTCTAACTAGACTAAGGTACCAGGTATTCAGAAAATAAAAACATATTTGACATTTAACGAGTAACCATGGTAACAAACCATTGCGAATTCTTATATTTTGTAAAATTTCTCGATTTTCCTTGTTTTTCATCAAATTTTAAGTATATTTTAGATTGGCAAAGTATGTGCACGTCCAAGAAACAACTTCATATTTGGTGAGATTATGTCATTAGTTATAATAAAGCTTCTCTTAAATTATTTTGTTGTTTCTTGGCTGCGCGCGATGTTTCCACAATGGAAATAATGATGGAAAACTGCTTAAATTCTGTATTTTTCGTCATTTTCATGAAAACGGTACATATTATGACGTAATTGTGATGTCATCAGATAAAAAATCTTATGTTTTTCATTTATATTTCTTGACTCTATGCATTTCTTAACATTATATGCCAATTTGGTATAGTTGTCAAACATTTTATTTTCTTGGGCCAAAACCTGACCTTAATGCCCCTACTCCTTTATTATATGAATAAAATTTTAAAGGATTACATCTTCATCTTATAAGTGCTAACTAGTCAATTACTTTGACCTCTGTTTCAATGTTCTGTGAACTTAATGAAATAAATTACTGCAGGTTTTTTTGTCAAATGATGTTCTGATATATGTGAACAAATAAGAAGTGTCAACATTAGTTAATTGTATGTTATGAACTATATTATTCATTTTGCTCATGCATAAATAGCTGTCTTGAGAAGACGTGTCCCCTTTATGAAACACATTAAAAAATTATAATAAGAAAAGTAGACATACATTGATGAAAAATGGTAACATTATTTATCATGTTTGTGTAATATATGTCTAGAATTTTTTTGTAAATAGATATAAGAAGATGTGGTATGAGTGCCAATGAGACAACTCTCCATCCAAGTAAAAATTTATAAAAGTAAACCATTATAGGTCACAGTACGGTCTTCAACACGGAGCCTTGGCTCACACCGAACAGTAAGCTATAAAGGGCCCCAAAAAATTACTAGTGTAAAACCATTCAAACCGGAAAACCAACAGTCTAATCTATATAAAAAACGAGAAACGAGAAACACTTATGAACCACATCAACAAACGACAACTACTGAACATCAGATTCCTGACTTAGGACAGGTGCAAACAAATGCAGCGGGTTTAAACGTTTTAATGGTACCAAACCTTCACCCTTTTTCTGAAACAATAGTGTAACATCACAACATAGAAAGACACACTATAAAATAAGTCTGTATTTATAAAAAGTCTGTGTTTTGCTAATGTATAAGACTGAATTGTCCCACAGTCAATAGCTTTTGATAAAACATTTGTTTTGAAATCTGACACTCAAAGGTATATGCATTTACTTCTTGAACAAGTTCTTCATTTAAAAATTTTGATCTCAGATCATTAATGTCTATTTTACATATAAATGTGAAATTATTGTAATTTTTGGAAAACATTTTCAGGAGTTCACACCATTAATTATTGTCAATGGAGAAATATGTTGTTGTTATGTCCAAAGAAAAGTTAATGATAATAAACTGATATATTGTGTATTCTTTCTTTATTGCCAAAATAAATTTAATTATAAGATAGCATCATTTGTTAATACTTCCACATTCGAATGAAATTATATGGACCAATGAAGAAAGGATTACAATTTTTTCTTCATAGTTATTTTGAAATTAAGGATATTCATTCCTCTGTTTCAAAATATTAAGCATTTCAAAAGACTGTAATAAATTGATAGTATATAAATAAAGGAAGTTAAAAGACAGAAAAAAAAGAATGAAAGGTCTGTGTCCTTGATTTGATATATAAGTCATTGAAAATTTGTAATAAATTGATAGTATATAAATAAAGGAAGTTAAAAGACAGAAAAAAAAGAATGAAAGGTCTGTGTCCTTGATTTGATATATAAGTCATTGAAAATTTGGTGGGGAATGTTTCTGTCTAGATCTTCCATACATTTAACATATGCACCTTTTTTCTTTCAAGAACTATGAAAAAATAACAAGAATTTTATAAGATTTTCAAAAATGGCTTATTAAACTATATGTTAATAAATTATGTAAAGAAAAATAGAGGTTAGCAGGCAATTTATTTTTTACTTTTTACAGAAACACATGTATAGATTCTTGATATTGACAAAAATTCAAAAACAAGAGTAGCGAACATCCTTTAGTCAAGTATCTCAAATATTTTAAATCTTGGAGGAGGAAGCTCACAATTAGATGTTTTTTTGTTAGTGTATAATGCCACTTTCAGCCCCCTTGGCTATATCATGGTGGCCAGTATTTATTGGTGGGCTGGAAGCTTATGATTGTCTACTTGTTGGTGTTGATACCACTTTCAGCCCCCTTGGCTATATCATGATGACCAGTATTTATTGGTGGCGGAAACTCACGATTAGATGTTTGTCTGTTGGTGTCGATACAACTTTCAGTGCCCTTGGTGATATCATGGTGGCCAGTATTTATTGGTGAACTGGAAGCTTATGATTGTCTACTTGTTGGTGTTGATACCACTTTCAGCCCCCTTGGCTATATCATGATGGCCAGTATTTATTGGTGCAGGAAACTCACGATTAGATGTTTGTTTGTTGGAGTGGCCATTATCAGTGCTCTTGTTTAAATCATGGTGACCATTTTGTATTGGAGGAAACTCACGATTAAATGTTTGTTTGTTGGAGTGACCATTATCAGTGCCCTTGTTTACATCATGGTGACCATTTTGTATTGGTGCAGGATACTCACGATTAGATGTTTGTTGGTTTTAATGCCATTTTCAGTGCCCATGGTTATATCAAGGTCACCAGTTTATATTGGTGGATGAAGCTCACTAGATGTTTGTTTATTGGTGTTATTGCCATTTTCAGTGCCCCTGGTTATATCATGGTGACCAGTTTTTATTGGTGAAGGAAGCTCACAATTAGATGTTTGTTGGAGTTTAATGTCACTTTCAGTGCCCCTGGTTATATCATAGTGATAAGTTTTTATTGGTGGAGGAAACTCACGATAAGTTGTTTGTTTGTTGGTGTTAATGCCACTTTCAGTGCCCCTTGTCATATCATGGTGACAAATTTTTATTGATGGAGGAAAGTCAAAATTAGATGTTTGTTTGTTGGTGTTAATGCCACTTTCAGTGCCCCTGGTTATATCATGGTGACCAGTTTTTATTGGTGGAGGAAACTCACAATTAGATGTTTGTTTGTTTGAGTTTCATGCCACTGTCAGTGCCCCTGGTTATATCAAGGTGACCAGTTTTTATTGGTGGAAGCAGCTCAAAATGAGATGTTTGTTTGTTTGTTTGTGCTATTGCCATTTTCAGTGCCCTTGTTTATATCATGGCAGGAACATATATATTGACATAGATATACTGTTCCCAGATCATGGTTACCAGTTTTTATTGGTGGAGGAAACTCACAATTAGATGTTTTTTTGTTGGTGTTGATGCCACTTTCAGATCCCCTTGGTTATATCGTGGTGACAAGTTTTTGAAAATATTGGAACTTTGTTCCAATTTTCTTTCCTAAGGCTCCCAAACAGGAAATAGCTAAATTTATAGCTACTTAATCTATACACATTGAAATATAGTTCCCAGTAATTCTCAAGTATGTGTGGTAACTGTATATTTGAAATGGAACAATTTTGGTCATAGTTTTAGAACAGTTCATTCAAGTATGTATTATCTTTTGTTACCCGTATGTCAACTTGCTGGCTAGTTTTGTCAATTTTATAAGGTAAGAGAACTGATATAATACCAGTATGATTGACAACTTTTATAATCAGAAACAAGGTGGAGCCTTATTTTCTCCCTCATTTCACTCTTCCGAACATTTTTTTCTTAACTATATCTCGTAGAAAAAAAAACAGTACAATCACACATACATAAATGCATCAAAATTCACCATACACAAGTCAAAAATGAACTGAGAAAGTAACATACAAGTTTATTTGGGGTGGGTGGGTGGGGAATAGTGTACCGATACTAACTACTGTGTCCTTACTATTTTGTAATAAACTGACTCACTGCCGAAATAGTCCATGCATTCAATGGGTATTACCTCATCTAATTTAAATATTGAAAACCGTTATGTTAAACATAAGATCGCAAAGAAATGTAATACATTGGAATGTCCAACCCATTTAAATGCCAATCATATTGACCAGTCTTACATTATACTTTATCATTCAACTCAATACACAATTATTGACCAATTAATGAATACACACAAAAGTTTGATATAAATATAAATTTTAGATTTGATAATTAACCTACCATATTACTTTTGATCTACACTACATAAAATGACTCTATACATTGTCTTAAATATTTAGGATTAATACAATCTATTTTTTTTATAAAAGACAAAATAGTAGGGTCTATATTTATGCGCCCGCCGTAGATGACGGGGGCATTAAGTCTATTCGTCCCATTTTTGTTTGTTTGAAGCTCGAGTGCGGGCATTCCTGTCCTCAGACACATTCTTCTTTTATTTAGTTAATAAATCAGTGTACTCACGATCTGTTATTAATTAATAATTTAGTAATTGGAATGAAACAATAAGTAAAATATAAAAATTCGTCATCTAGGCAAATTACCAATATTTTTTTATGTTTACTTCTCATCAAATTTCTTTGAAACATTGTTAGTTATTTGTATATTTAAATGCAGGAAGTGCTAAAGTTGATGCCACTTTCAGGTTACAAGAGGGCAATTATTTGTTTACATTTTACTGGCTTTTTTACCCAAAGATGGTACTCAGAATAGAATCCTGTACTGCTTCTGATTGGATGATACAGGATTGAAATTACTTTTAATCGAAAGCTTATCCAATTAGGTTTAAATAATCCAGAAAATCAAATTCACATTTTACAAAATATAGAAACTGTCTTCCATTTCTGCACGTCGGAGCCATTAAAAATATGCCCTTTTCATTAAGCGAAAAAAATAGACGATCTTTTTCAACTGCATTTTAAGTATACTTCGGCCGCATGACCATATATATTTTTTTGGGTTATTATGCAACACTGGCATTTCTAGTTACAGGAACTGCTTACCGTTTTTATACGCCCGTTTACGGGACGTATTATGGTATACCGTTGACCGTCCGTCTGTCCGTCCGTCCCTCGTCAACATGTCGGACATTTACTCAAAAAAGCTTTGACCAATATGCATGAAACTTTGGTGAATTGTTTATATCTATTGACTTGAGCTCACTTTCGTTTTTTATAAATTTCAGATTTACCGTTTCCGAGTTTTGGGGTTTTATTCTTTAAAAAAGGGGGGATTTTCCAGTTTTCCGACAATAACTCAAGAATGCTTTCACCAACTTGCAAGAAATTTTGGCGAATTGTTTATATCTATTGACATGAGCTCCCTTTTGGATTTTTATAAATTTTAGATTGAACGTTTCTGAGTTACAGGGTTTTATTCATAAAAAAAAAAGGGATTTTCCAGTTTTCGGACAATAACTAAAAAATGCTTTTAGTAGTTCTCATGAAACTTTGGTGAATTGTTTATATCTGTTGATGTAAGCTCTTTTTAGAATTTTATAAATTTTACATTTTACATTTCTGAGTTATGGGGTTTTATTCATTAAAAAAGGGGGGACTTTCCATATTTTGGACAATAACTCAAAAATGCTTTCAGCAGTTCTCATGAAACTTTGGTGAATTATTTATAGCTATTGATGTAAAAAAGGGGGGATTTTCCAGTTTTTGGACAATAACTCAAAAATGCTTTCAGCAGTTCTCATGAAACTTTGGTGAATTATTTATAGCTATTGATGTAATCTCCCTATTGATTTTCATAAATTTCAAATATGACATTGAGAAGAAATTGAACTTTATTTGTTTATAGTCTGACAACAGATTTACTAAGTATTGCGGAACAGCACAGTGTATTGTACAACAGCAAGAAATCTTTAATTGAATATAAATTCAATTCATATAACCAATTTCAAGTTCTTTGACTACATTTATTCAGAAACCTTTAATATGTCAAATATTTAATTACAATCCAAATTCATACCTGTATCAAGCTTGAATATTGTGTCCATTTTTGCCCCAACTGTTCAGGGTTTGACCTCTGCGGGTGTATCCAGCTGCGCTCAGCGAAGCAGTTTATTTTCCTAGTGTGTGTAGTTTTTGAGAAATAAAATACAGAACACCACTGGTACCCTATGGAAAATGCATTACGAATAATTGCGCTCTTGTAACCTATAGTGCCCATGGTTACATGATGGTGACCAGTTTTTGGTGGAGAAATCCACTTCATTTGTAGAATCACTGTACGGTGTACGTTTTCTGTCGACATTGTTCATCTGACCTTGAACTTAAAATCCACTTCATTTGTAGATCCACTGTAAGGTGTACTTTTTCATCCGACATTGTTTTCCTGACCTTGACCTTATTTTCAGGTATCAGTGATAATGATAAGTTTATGCCGACCATGCAAGACCCTGTTACCATAAATGCCAATAAAATGTGTAAGGTTAGGCAGGAAAATATAAGGTAGGCAGGGAACAGAACTTTATTTTTGTTTATGGCCTAATCAGAAAAGCAGGCAAACTAGACACTTTTTTTTATGAAAACATTGATTTTACCTAAACATACTAATAACTTTTAAAATTATACATCTGACAATATATAAAGGCAATAAACAGTTTTAAACATACCGGTACTTAAAATCAAATTTAGAAATGACTTGCTGAAAGGCTATAAAGCAGTTCACATAATTCCCTTTAATGTGTAATCTAAATTATACCTTTATCATACATCTGTTTTGTATAACATACAAAGTACTAGCAAAGGGTTTGTGTTTGTACCAGCTGACAAAGCATCCCACAATGTGGTGGTGGTATGCCGTAAATATTACATGAAAGTTCTTAAGAATGAAATTTTAAATTCTTCTACATTCAAGTCTGTGCGCTCCACAGAGAGTATAGTAAACAATCATATCATAACCACAGCTTATGGCCTCTTCTGAGTATTTGAAGGTTCCTAACTTCCTACTATGTATTTGTTACCTAAACTACACAAAAAACCAGTAAAATTTCATCTCAGCCTCTAGTAAGTGTTCTACAACTAATCTTTCAGTGCTTATTACTAGTTCCTTAACTACTATCAAAGAACTTATCATTAACTTTTGTAATAAAACATATGAAAATAGTGGAATTAACTATTTTTGGAGTGTTAAAAATTCTTTTGATGGTTTAGATAAATTACATGCTTTTGATGGTCCTTTTGATTCTGTTGACAGCTTTGACTTTTCAACTCTACACTACACTTCCACACAATCTTGTCAATGCAACTCATTTAAAGCCTTTTTCTCTAATGAGAAAGGTAAATATGCTAGATATACTTACTGGAGGTGTGATGAGATGATTGAAGCTGTTAATTTTCTCCTTGATAATATTTATGTACGTTTCAGCAATGAAGTTTATCGACAGGTTGTATGTATTCCTATGGAGACCAATTGCGCCCCTTTAATAGCAGACTTGTTCTTGTACTGTTATGAATCCCAGTTAATGACCAAACTCAGTAAAGACCCATCTAAATTGCATTTAATTGATAAATTCTACAACACTTACCATTATCTTGATAAATCAAGAATTTTCTTAATATACTGCCAAAATATACCCAAACAAATTTACTTTAAATAAATAAAATATAAACGGTAATAACTTACCTTTCCTAGATTTAGATATTTCAGTTTTACAGGGGAAACTCTACACTAAAATTTACGACAAAAGGGACGATTTTTTGTCGAGCCTGCGAATTTTGTCGCAGAAAGCTCGACATAGTGATAGTGATCCGGCGACGGCGTCAGCTATCTTCATAAAAGCTTAATATTTCAGAAGGAAGAATACCTGGATCCTTCATACTTTGTATATAGATGCCTTATGATATGAAGTTTCCGTCTGTCATATGTCCATCGACCTTGACGTCATTTTCATGGTTCAGTGACTACTTGAAAAAAAAGTTAAGATTTTTAGTATTCTTAAATTCTCTCTTATTATGAGTAATAGGATAACTACATTTGGTATGTGCGTACCTTGCAAGGTCTTCATGCCCGTCAAATAGTTTTCACTTGACCTCAACCTCATTTCATGGATCAGTGAACAAGGTAAGTTTTGGTAGTCAAGTCCATATCTCAGATACTATAAGCAATAGGTCTACTATATTTGGTGTATGTGTAACCAGGTTGTTTTGGTCGTATAATAAAATAAACACCTCAGGATCAATGGATTCGTTTTATTGTGTAATATAAGAAATGACCCTGCAATACAAATACAAATAATAAATACAAAGAAAGATAACTCTATTCATTCTAGGTGACAATACCTAAAATACAATACTCAAATACTTCCTACTGGACAACTATGGTTTTCCATGTTATTTACTTACAAATCTATTTACATAGAATGTTAATCATGAGAAATATTGTTCTCATCATAAATTACACATCTTAACATTTAACATATTGGTATTCTACCAAATATTCTTCTGATAGTCATTTATGGGTCATTCCATTCAAATTACTAACAACATTGAATTAGTACACATAAAGCAAAGCGTACAGTAACATAACACAATAAGCTTATTAAAACAAATATTATAGCCATGCTCAAGACAAATGTTAAGCACAAAAACACACATATAAACAGAATACACAACCTACCATGTATGAGGTACATAGGTCCTGTATTTACAATATGGAATCTTCTACATGATATACGAACAGTATGGTTCAAATATCTGTAATAAAAATATTATCATAACTATTTGTGTTTATAGTTTACGTATCAAATTATCAAATCATTTAATAGTTTAAAATATGTCTTAACATACAAATTACTATTTTATATCTTTACTATTACTTCTTTTCACTAAACTGAGTAATTCATATAATTTTACTGTTTATGGCTTAAATACTTACAAAATGATTTGTTTGACTGTGTCAATTTAGTTAAACTGATTTAAACAATATTTAATATACTTTTATATGTTTTAATCTATTTTATACACCTTTTACTCTGAAATCATTCATTCTGACCATTCATACCAAATCATCTATACAATCTATTCATATCAGTATTTTAGTATGAATGTGACATATTAAGTAGAGAAAACTGACCTGATAATGGAATCAAAGATGTCCACAAATATAAATATATCAAAGCAAACAACACACAACTATACAATTCAAAGTATGAGTAAATTCTGACCTAACAATAGAATTTCCCTCCAAAATGACCATATGACTAAATTAGCCAATTATCACAAAGAAGAAAAAGTTTCACAATACAAACTAGTAAAACCCAGAGAGTAAACAAATAACCAATATATCAAAACTCACTGAGCCATGTAAAAATCATACAATGAACATAACCAGTGGAGCATGACTAGAAACTAACTCACTAAATACTTAGAATTAAAAATATTACACTCATCAAATATATAGTATCACAATATCAAAGTATAATACAAAATTAAAAATATCCAAATTAACACACTACCACATACTCCCCGCTGCAGGAAAAAATGACGTCCCGTCATTTATCAGTATGTGTAGATGTCTTCAAAATATCTAAAATAGTGCGTGCCGCTTCACTCTTCATATCCACAAAAAGATCAGACTGTACCAGATCAGTAATGCAATCAATCTTCTGTTTCCACTCACTCTTAACACTAACTGCTGACTTAGATATATCATAATCACCTGATGTATACCAAGCGGGTGGTTTTCTAGATCTAGTTGAGCGTCTGACAGGAACATTATCTGAATCATCTGACTCTAGTGAAATATCTGCCTCAGGTGTATCATCCTGTTGGCCATCACTTTCCTCTACTGGAGCGCTTTCTATGTGTACAGATTCCTCCTGCTCAGCCTGTGTAGCAGTATGGGCGTCCCCATGCGGATCTGTAGTTTCTACAGCTTCCCTGTTGTTATCTTCGAGCTGTGTTTCATCAACATCTGGATCAATTGACTCTTCAGTGATGATTCTATCACTGTCCAAATATCCATCTGAGTTGACAATGAAATGGTTTTCAGAATCAGACTCGTCTTCTGATGTGGTATCAGAATCTGAACCTTCTTCTGGTTTGTCCTGTTTCTTCAGTGAGTGTTTAATATGATCTTTTGTGGATTTATGAAGTGATTTTTCCTTGTCATAGATGAATCCAATGGGTAAAAGTAGGTTTCTATGTAATGTTCGTGTTCTTCCTGTTCCATTTTCCCTTCTTACAGTATAAACTGGTATATCTGTGTTTGGCTGAGTCATGACTTTGTATGGTTCTTCTTCCCATTTGTCAGACAATTTATGTTTTCCATCAAATGCAAGGATTCGGACCAAAACTTTATCTCCAATGCTGATATTAGCTCCTCGGACCTTGGTATCATACATCTGTTTTTGTTTTTCTCTGGCCTTTTTGGCAGCCTCTTCAGCAAGTTGGTATGCCTTTGATAAACGCTCCTTCAATTCCTTAATGTAATTCGTTGAAGGCTCAAAGTCATCCTTCCTTAATCCAAAAACAACATCAATGGGAAGTCTCGGATTACGACCAAACATCAGTAAATAAGGTGACTGACCAGTAGACTCGTGTCTAGTGCAGTTGTATGCATGTACCAAAGGTCCAATGTATTGTTTCCAGTTGACTTTCTGGTGATTTTCCAAAGATCCAAGCATGTTTAACAAAGTTCTATTGAATCTTTCTGTCATACCGTTACCGATAGGGTGATAGCTTGTTGTTCTGGACTTTTTCATTCCTGTTAATTTACAAAGTTCTTTTATTACTTTTCCTTCAAAATTGGCTCCTTGATCTGAATGAAGTCTTTGTGGAATTCCATAATGTACAATATAGTTGTTAAATAAAACATCTGCGGTGGTTTTGGCAGTCTGATTACGAGTTGGAATGGCTTGTGCATATCTTGTGTAGTGATCGGTTATGACAAGTATGTTCTGATATCCACCTTTTGATGGTTCCAACGTTAAATAGTCTATAGCAACAAGTTCCATTGGCGTTGAAGTAGTGATACTTACTAATGGCGCTCTTTGTTTCGTTGTTGTTTTTCTCCTTATACAGCGACCACATTGTTCAATCCAATGTTCCACATCTTTATCCATTCTTGGCCAATAGAATCTGTCTTTTAACAATGAGAGTGTTCTTTCTTTTCCAGGATGTCCCATATCATTATGCATAGCTTCCAATACAGTTGATGCATGAGTAATAGGCAGAACTAATTGCTTCCTTATTTCTCCATCTATAGTTGTTTCTCTGTATAGGATGTTATCAATCAATCTAAGATGTTGAAATTGGCGCATAAATGGACTAGGTCCTATTTCTTTAATTCTAGGTTTTCTATTCTGGTGAACAAATTCAATCCATGGTCTGATGTCTGGATCCATAGTTTGTGCTTTTTCCCAGTCAATAATATTTCCTAGATTGGTTCCTCTGTTGTCTATATCCTCAATCACTACATCAGGTGAAATAGCTAAACTCTCAATATAAGCTGGTGGTAATGCTTTTCGACAAATAGCTTTGATGGATTCAAGCGGTATATTACATCTGTCGTTGCAATCTGTATCAGCAGGAAGACGACTTAGAGCATCTGCGTCTGCATTAGCCTTCCCTGGTCTATAGAGTATATCAAAATCAAATGCTGATAATGCAGCTAACCATCTATGTCCTGTTGCATCAAGTTTTGCAGATGTTAATACATAAGTAAGAGGATTGTTGTCAGTCATGATGGTAAATTTCGTTCCGTATAAGTAATCCTTGAATTTATCTGATACTGCCCATTTCAGTGCCAGAAATTCCCTCTTATGTGTAGCATAGTTCTTTTCAGCTTTAGATAAACTGCGACTGGCATAGCTAATCACTCTTTTGAGTCCATTCTGTTCTTGATATAAAACAGCACCAAGAGCGTCTCCAGATGCGTCTGTATGAAGTTCATACGGTTTAGAACCATCTGCGTAGCCAAGTATAGGTGCTGATATGAGTTTTTCCTTCAGTAGTTCAAATGCTCTTTCTTGTTCATTTCCCCATTTCCATAATTTCTTTGTTTTAGTCTTGTTTTTCTGTCCTTTCTTTGTTGGTGTAGGCATTAACTCTGTTAATGGTTTTGATATCTTACTAAACTGGTGAATGAAACGACGGTAATATCCAACAAATCCTAAAAATCGACGAATGTCTTCTGGTGTAGATGGTTTTGGCCAAGATGTTACTACTTCTGTCTTTTGTTTATCTATTTGAATTCCTTCTTCAGATACTATGTGACCAACATATTTAACCTTTCGCTTGAAGAATTCGCATTTTCCTGGTGCTAATTTTAAATTTGCTTCTCTAATTTTGTCAAAAACTAATTTTATGTTGTGAAGATGTTCTTCGTAAGATTTTCCAAAAATGATGATATCGTCGATGAATATGCAACATATCTTTAAATTCAAATCGCCTAAAATTTCCTCCATGAGTCTTTGATAAGTTGCTGGTGAATTTGTTAGTCCAAACGGAAGACGGTTATACTCATAAAAACCCAGTGGTCCTACAGTGAACGCAGTTCTTTCCTTATGTTCTTCTTTGATCTCGACTTGATAATATCCCGACTTCATGTCGACAACGGAAAAGAACTTGCTGCCAGCTAAACAATCTAATAATTCCTCTATCCTTGGCAAAGCATAACTATCTTTTCTTGTCTTTAAATTAATTTGGCGGTAATCAATGCATAGTCTGAGAGATCCATCCTTTTTCTTAACAAGTACCACGTTAGATGCATATGGTGAATGAGATGGTCTTATGATTCTATTGTTGAGAAGTTGGCGTAAATGAGAACGAACTTCATCATACATTGCGGTTGGAATTCTGCGGTATCTCTGTTTGAATGGTCTTTCATTTTCGTCAATTAAATCTATTCGGTGTTGCACCCTATCGGTATGTCCTACATCACCATCACCTTTTGAGAAAATATCTTGAAATGAATTTATCATATCTTTTCCTTCTTGAAATTGTTCATCTGTCAAATCACTTTGCATGATATCCTTGACTTTTTCTGTAATAGGTATATCATCAGTGTTTTCGTCCTTTGGTATATCTTCAATAGTGACTGGTTGAAGTTCGCAAACTATAGCTTTAGGTGGAATGGCTATTGTACTAGTTGTTACATTTGCTATCTTAATTTTCAATATATTGTTGTTGTTATATCTGTATTGATGTATTGCTGGCTCTATATCTAAATCTTGTATATGATGATCAGATACTAATGTTGTTTGTAGTAAACAAGCTGTAGGCTTAAACGGTATTTCCTTGACGCAATATCCTTCAATAATTTTCTCGGTATTTGGAGGTATTATAATCTTTTGTATTTCTGCAGATCTTACTAAAGCTAATCTGTTTTTGTTCTTTGTAAGTTGTTTTTCTTGTAGTGATATAGTCCTGAATGTAAGATACCAAGGTGTAGTCAACTGTGCATTCTGTAAAAATCTATCTCCATGCTGTTGTTTAAGTTCTGACATCAAGGTTTCAAGTATATTAGTTCCAAGTAGTAAAGGTACATGCTGGTTATATTGACTATCTGGTATAACAAGTATCGGATAAGTTCTGTTAATGCTGTTTTTAGTTGTTATTCTTGCGTCGATAAATCCTAAATATGGTAATTGAGTTCCTCCTGCACATTCAATATCCAAAAGTTTATGTAATTCCTGAAGTTCTAATGAGCTAGAAAGATGATCTTTGTAATAAGAGTATGCCAAAGTTGACACTGTTGAACCAGTATCTAAAAGTGTAGTTACCTTGTTTCCCTCTAATTCTATTGTTGATTCTGCAGGTTTTCCTAATAATCCTGGCGGTATTTCTTTAACTAAATTATTTCTAATCTGAGGACCATATGTTGCATTTTTCCTCAAGCCTACCACCGGCCCCTGGTCATAGGCTGCCTGAAGTTTAAAGAATTCCTCTGGTGATCTAAAATCACCCGGCATCCAATCTGTAAGTGACCGTAAAGTCCACATCTATGGCACTTAGGTTCCTGTTGATATCCCGGTTGTTGTGTAGGTTGATGTTGAGTATCTTCATAGGTTGGTGTATCTGATGATTGCTGATTCCAATTACCTGTATTAGGTGGTTGCCAGTTACCAGTACCTCTTGATGATTGCCAGTTACTAGTACCTCTTGATGATTGCCAGTTTCCAGTACTTCTTGGTGATTGCCAGTTGCCAGTACCTCTTGACGGTTGACTTCTACCTCGTCCAAATCCTCTATTATTACCTCTATATCCTCTGTTGAATTGAGGTAAGTATCTTTGTGGTGTATTCTGTTGTTCCAATGAAGTAACCTTTTGTGTAAGTTGGTTTATCATTCCTACCAATTTATCATACTTCGGTTCCTCTGTAGTGATCGCTGATTTAGATGTTCCTTGCTTACTCTTAGTTTTTAGTGTATCGGTCTCTTTTGACACTGCATGATCTCTTTCAATCTGACGAAGGGCTACGCGTAAACTGTCAAAATCCTTAATGGTGTCA